TAGCACTACAGCTTGAAGAGGGCAGGAGCCAAGTGACAGGCTAACATTTGGGTCCACTGCCAAGACCAATGTCGACAGGCAAAAGAGCCCATCTGCCGAGACCCTAGAGTGTGTGATTCTTCCCGGACCCCTTGACAGATAGTTTTGGTTGCAGGCTCTGGGCCAAACAGGGCTGTAGCTAAGTCCTTCAAGGAATGGGACCATTTCTGCATATGAACCTGGGAGCACAATTAGCAGGACTCCCACTTGGGTGTTGGTATACACTCTCAAAAACAACACTTCTAAGTCTTGAGTTCTACTGGGGTTTTGCAACCTCCTACCTGAATCCAAAGGCTCCCACAAAAAGACTTATCTGTAATAGGTACAGAATTCTTGTTGTTTTGGGGGGATACAAACAGGTGACCTCCTATTCTGTCATCTTCTTGACATCACTCAGAAGTATTGTCTTAAAGATATTTTTTTTCTAAGATTGAGGTGTTGAAGATCTAACCATTTTTCATATGTATATACAATTTAGAAAATTTAAGAAATATTTTCTTCATTTATATTTTTAAAATAGTTAAATCATATTTGTTTCCCTGGTGCTTATGCAAGAGAAGAAGGAATTAAAAGCATCTATGGGAAGGTTTGGTGTATCTGCCTCTTGATGGATTTGTCTTGAAATTGTTTCCTTATAGTTTGTATATTACATTTTATTGAGCATACATAAATGCTACCTAGAGCATAGCCATTTCCTACTGAGATCAGTATGAATTTTAATATCTAGATGACTGTTTTATATATGGATGCTACATATTAATGGATTTCTTTTTCTTTAGAAAGCATGTTTCTAAATAATTAAAACATTAGATAGAGAAGCTAATTTTATACGTTTTGCTTTTCCTTCTCCATCTAAGAGAGTTATATGAAAATTAGTATAACTAATACTAGTTTTAATGGAATTTTTAGAAACAGATCACTCATTTTCTAAGTATAAAATATTAGACTACATGTTAAGAGAACTTAATCTAGAAACCATTAGACTTTAGGGACTCCGAAATTGTCCAAAAGATTAAACGGAGTTATTAGTGCAAAGTGTCCTTAACCTAGAGGCCACAGATGCTGTGAAATTATTTTGCAGAATTTTTCAATGCATATTCATTTTTCTGGAACAAGAATCTGTAGTTGTTATCAGGCTTGCAAAATGATTCATGAACGCCCCCTTCAAAAAAAATATAAGACCCAATGTTTTATGTAGTTAAAAGATGAATTAATTTGCAGCTACTTTTCAGACTTCTATGTGGCTAGCCCAAAAGGCCATGATCCTTTTTCCTTAATATCATTGTTCAGTTTCTCAACCTCTTTTCTTTTTTAAAGGAACAAAGAATTCTATGCCAAAGCTATTATTTCCATTCTACCTACAAATTAAAATTATTTCTTCAGTTCATAGGTATTATATTCAAAGAGGTAAAAGTCTGTAAGTTCTCCACAGGGTTTCATTTAACTTGTTTTAAAATGCATATTAATGAAGTGCAAAATGTCATGCATGACAAAACCTTTGGACTTTAATCAATAAAACTAGGTTTTATCAAAGGGACTTGCTTAGTGTCATCATTAAGAACATGGTCTCCAGAGTGAAATTGCCTGGATATAAGCCCCAGTTTTGCCACTTATAAACTCACCGCAGATCCAATCCTATTACAAATTTTTGCCAAGGCCTTGGGCAAGTCATTGAATCTCAGGGCTTCCTGTATTTCTCCACCCTTGAAGTAGAGACCAGGTGCTCACCAAGGTCCCTTCTGACTTTAAAATTTCATCTAATTTTTATATGTTTTTTATATGTAATAATAACATGACATAAAACTAACTTTTAGGATAAATGGCAATAATTTCTCTAATATTTTTCTCACATCATTAATATATTAATAAGAAAAATTGAAGCTTATTGAATTGAGTCAACACAAAGATTACAAAAATACCACAGAATATATGACATGTATCACACTGCAGTTTTTCTTCCATTTTAACCACAGTTGAGGGAGAAAAAATCCTACTCCCTTCTTTTTAAATTTCTTTTTCTTTTTTTTTTCTTTTTAACAAAACACTCAGCTTTCTAATTTAAAAAATATATAATTAAAAAACTTTTTCTTTATAGAGACGGGGGGTCTTGCCATGTTGGCCAGGCTAGTCTCACACTCCCGGGCTCAAGTGATCTGCTCACCTCGGCGTCCCAAAGTGCTAGGATTACAGGTGTGAGCCACTGCTCTAGGCCCTTTATTTTTAATTAGACACAAATTTTAAGGTTACTTAAAAGATTATGTAATAAAAACTTATCCTGTTCAAAAAGAATTTTGCAGTATCTAGTCCATGTTAAAAATATAAGTCTATGTGTATGTAGCAAAATATGTTCCAAAACCTACATGTTGGGGAAAGGTGTAGCTAAAAGGGAATAAAAGTCAAATTATGGCCTTAGGACATGGAGTCATTTTCCTGGTTTTCCTAAAGCTTTTGTCAAAAATCACCCAAGTTGTATATAATTTTCTAGTGGGAATATAGTAGTAACATGAGATGCTTAAATAGTATGTTTTAGAGGGAGAATGGGAAATGTCAAGTATCACCATACTCAAGGAATACGAAAAATCTTTACCATCTACCTATTTTAACTTGGTGTATTTAATTTTATACTTTTTACTACTTGGAGATTTAAGTTAAATATTTCATTTCACCTACTGACAGTTACTATTTAAATCTGCAATATAAATAGTATTTATGCAATTTAAATGGTATCAATGGATTAACTATAGATCAGATCATATGTTTTTTATTTTTACAAAAGCTAATTATTTTCTATGTATAAGAACCAGTACCTAAGATAAAGTGCTATTTCAAATAAGAAGTAGGAAAATTTTCTTTTCTAAATGCATATTCTTTAATTGCTTTCATTTTCTATGACTGTACTACCCTGAATGTACCCAATCTCTTTTAAGTATTTTTAAAAGTTAGGATTGATTTTTGATTCTTCCTTATTGGTAAATGTGATTTTCTTTCACAGAAGTTAAAAATAGGGAAGAAAAGGTAAAAGATGGAGCCAATTTAAATTAAAAGCAGTACAAATGTCTAAGACTGTGCTCTACAGTGGGGTAGCCACTAACCATATGTGGCAATTAAGCACTTGAAATGGGACCAGTCTGAATTGGCATAAGTATATTAAAAAAAAATGTAAAATCGTTTATTTTTTATATTGATTACCTAAAGAAACATGTTGGATAGATTATCTGAAAAAACATTTTGGAAGAAATATTTTTGATATATTTGGTTAAATAAAATACGTTATCAAAGTTAATTCTGCCTTTTTCATTTTATGTTTAATGTGCCTACTAGGACATTTTAAATTACATATGTGTCTGACATTATGTTTCTCTTGGATAGCGCTGACCTGAAATAGTAATGTCAACACTTGCACTAGTCTGAAATTTAAAACTAGTCAGGACTCAGTTAAACATCCAGAAAATATTTAAATAAAATACTATTTTCTTTTTTTTTTTTTTTTTTTATTGGTGAGACGATGTCTCGCTCTGTCACCCAGGCTGGAGTGCAGTGGCCGGATCTCAGCTCACTGCTGCAAGCTCTGCCTCCTGGGTTTACGCCATTCTCCTGCCTCATCCTCCCAAGTAGCTGTGATTACAGGCGCCCGCCACCTCGCCCGGCTAGTTTTTTTGTATTTTTTAGTAGAGATGGGGTTTCACCGTGTTAGCCAGGATGGTCTCGATCTCCTGACCTCGTGATCCGCCCGTCTAGGCCTCCCAAAGTGCTGGGATTACAGGCTTGAGCCACCGCACCTGGCCTAAGATACTATTTTCAAGCCCCTTACATACTATTAGAATTTGCTTTTACTCTGTACGTGCTCATCTGATTATGAAGATTAAGTAATTATAGGGAAAATGTTTATCTTGGTTATGTGTGGTTTACTTGTTTTCAACAAACTTTGGTACTCAGATATTTAATGCTACAGATATTTTGGTAGAAAGGAAACCTCAATAAAAATACTTCTACCTTTATACTTTTACATGGTTGAACAGTATAATGGAGTACAATATTTCCTCTGGAATAAATCAAGGTAATAGTTGATCATTCCATACCTGTGTAACATTGGTGGAAAGTAATAATATTGTAAAGGCACTGCATGAAACAACCCTAAACCAGACCTAGATTCTAAATCAGAGCTTATTACAAAGTACACTAATGTAGAGCCAGATGGATACTTTATGGGAAGAAAGAAAAAAAAAACTTTGTAAGTGTTAATACATTTCTGTACTTAACTGACTGAAAACAAAAATCTACTAAATGTGTATTTTTCAAGGTTTGATTACCACTTTTTTAATCTCTCCTCCAAGTGGTGCAGACTAATTTGCTATTGACATTATTGTAGCTTTATTAACAGATGATATAACTACTTGATGGGGTCATGCTGAGGTTTTTTTCTCATTTGTTTGATATGTTTTGGGTGATATTTCTAGTATTTTTAAATAATGAGGTGCTTTGTTGCAATAGTTTGAACAATTGATCTCAGTCCTTTCTAACTGTTGGGTGATTCTGAAGCAGTGAACCAATGCCTTTTGTTTTTTTGATTTTTTGTTTTGTTTTGTTTTGTTTTGCTTTGCTTTGCTTTGCTTTGCTTTATTAACTATTGGTTTGCTCTGTTACCTGTTCACATGCTCTTACAGATGCAACTAATTCATGAAATTTCGAACTTAAAGAATTTAGTTAAGCATGCAGAAGTATATAATCAAGATCTTGAGGTGAGCATTCATGTGGGTATTTCTATTGATAAGCAATTAGAACTATAAAACATGCAACATATGTAACTGATCATAATGTCAGAAATAAGGGAATTATGTTTTTAAAATATTAGTGACTTTGAATTTTACTATGGATTTAAACTAATATATATAAGTTCTGTTTTTATCCCGTAGACTTCAAACCAGATTCTAAATTGTTACTCTCTCCTTTGATTCTTTTAGAATGAACTAAGTTCAAAAGTAGAGCTGCTTAGAGAAAAGGAAGACCAGATTAAGAAGCTACAGGAATACATAGACTCTCAAAAGCTAGAAAATATAAAAATGGACTTGTCATACTCATTGGTAAAAATCAGGCTTATTTTGTTATGTAATCACATAAATATATATAACATACCATCATCTTAGCAAATGCTTATACTGGACCTACTTTGTGCTGGGTATTGTTGTAATAAATGTATATATATTTTATTAAATCCGTCAATAACCCTATGACATAGGGACTGTTAGTGTATTTGCCATTTTAGAGATAAAGTTACGTTTGTAGAAAGTTGATCATATCATCCTTTGAGTAAATATAAGGAAGTTAAGGACAGGCTCCCATTAAGAATCAGTAAGTTTTAGGCCAGGCACGCTGGCTAATCCCTGTGATGCCAGTACTTTGGGAGGCTGTGGTGGGACGATCACTTGAGCCCAGAAGTTCAAGACCAGCCTGGGCAACATAATGAGACCTGGTCTCTACAAAATATGTGAAAATAAGTCTGGTATATACTGCCAGCTACTTGGGTAACTGAGATGGCAGAATTGCTTGAGCTTGGGAGGTTGAGGCTGCAATGAGCCGAGATCATGCCATTGCACTCCAGCCTGGGCAACAGAGCAAGACTTTGTCACCAAAAAAAAAAAAAAAAAATCAGTAAATTTTTAAAATTCTGAATTTTTTTCAGTAGTTTTATACAAATGGATATAGTAGTATATAGTCAAAATCTTAAATATCTAAACTTGGATATTTTTTCATAATTTTGTAGTTCCAGATGATTTTAGTTGATATAAGATCTTGGCATTAAATAACATTGAATCTGATGATAAATTACCATTTAAATCTGCAATATAAATAGTTTGCTTTCAATATACCTGATTGCTTCAAGAAAGTATGTTTGATTCCAGTTTTTAGTACCTTTTTTTTTTTTTTTTTACAGTAACAGTTTCTAGCTGGAACTTTTAAAAGACTAGTTTCTGTTCTTCTGTTTTCAATTGAGTTTTTTAGTTTTTGTTACCTTCTATTATTTTGTTGCCTTTTATTTGTGACAAATGATTCTTTTTAAAGGGGTTCATACCATTTTATATCATCCTATTCTGAGGCCCTGGATAGGAAGGCACTTTTATATATTCTGGAGTATCTGTTCATAGGGTAGCAAGCAGAACTGCCCACTTTTTAAAAATTACTATTTCTTTTTCCTTATTTATTCATGTACTGATTTATTAATTTTTTTCCAAGGACATATCATTGATTTCATATAAGCTAAAGTCATATTAAAATATCACTTCTCTTTAGAAATGAGGTTGTAGATTTTTTTCATTTATTTTTCATTTGCATTTTCTCATCTGTGAATTTCTTGTTCATATCTTTTCTCTGTTTTTCTATTAGATCATTTGTCTTTTTCCTTTTCAATTTGTGGGTTAATATCTTTAATTTAACTGTTAACTACTTACCTATCATATGTTGAAGATAATAACTCAAAATAAAAATACATAGAAAACAGCCTCGCTGAACAACAATTGTGTTAACTTTTAAACAAAACAGATCTAAATTATGATACATTGCTTATATAATTTGATATATTGCTTATATAATTTGAAAAATATGACCAGAATTTTTTAAAAATATTTTTATTAGGAAAACATGATTTCTTTTTATATATTTGGTAACTAGCATATTTGGTTAACTAGCTTTTTGGTTAACTAGCTTTTTGGTTAACTAGAGTTAACATTTATATACATATTCTCTTAAGAATTTTCCAACTCTGAAAAGTAGATTTCACTGAACCCCTTTTGTCATCTCTTTAGGAAAGCTTTGAAGACCAAAAACAAATGAAACAGACTCTGTTTGATGCTGAAACTGTAGCCCTTGATGCCAAGAGAGAATCAGCCTTTCTTAGAAGTGAAAATCTGGAGCTGAAGGAGAAAATGGTAAGTATTTTTTGTAATATTTATAGTAAAGTAGTTGTAATGATCAGTGCATTTTTGTGCATTTGCAATGTTTTTCTCAATAGCAAGAACTTGCAAGTACATACAAGCAAATGGAAAATGATATTCAGTTATATCAAAGCCAATTGGAGGCAAAAAAGAAAATGCAAGTTGATCTGGAGAAAGAATTACAGTCTGCTTTTAATGAGATAACAAAACTCACCTCCCTTATAGATGGCAAAGTTCCAAAAGGTATTTTGTAATTTTAAACATCTTTTTTCAAATCTGACTTCTTCTAGAAATGTACCTAAACAATTTTTCAAGCATATTTCAATGATTAAAAATTCATTATACTCTGATGTTTTAAAAACTCAATATTATGCTTTAGTGTCTTTTGGTATTGATATTTATAAAGATTTCCATGGGTTTCAAATCATAAAGGATTATTTTTCAAATAAACTTTAGCTGATCCTGAAAAAGGTGATTCAAGGACTATTAAAAATTAAATTACCTGTTTGCCAACATTGGATCTTTATACAATTTACCAAAACTTTCTAGATTTGCTCTATAATTTGGAATTGGAAGGAAAGATTACTGATCTTCAGAAAGAACTAAATAAAGAAGTTGAGGAAAATGAAGCTTTGCGGAAAGAAGTCAATTTGCTTTCAGAATTGAAATCTTTACCTTCTGAAGTAGAAAGACTGAGGAAAGAGGTAAACACATTTATAAACACTTATCCCTTATTTTGAAATAAATACCTTTGCGATAATAGTGCCTTAAATATTTTGGTATAGTTTATGTTAAACTAGCAGGCAAAAGAGATGCTGTAAACATTTGACTGGTTAGCAATAGAAATGAATATAGTGCATCTTCTAATTTGTTCTTATGCTACTAGATTTAAAAAATGTATATTTTTTTCAAGGTGTATTTAACTGTATACTTAGTAATATGATCCATGTAGCAGCCATTCCTCAAATGTTGCATTTATTCAGTATTACGGCCCACCCTTAGTCTTTACCATTTTTTTGATAGTAGTAGTATCGTTATTTTGAATAAAAGACAGTAATGAGGGAAAAGAGGTGGCACTGATAAAGTTTTAGAGGTTAATGCAAATCTTTCAGGCTGGTGAATGTTTCTGTAAATCCATGGCCTGCCAGTTTTTCTTTCTACTTGTCTAAAAGAAAAATGTTAAAAATGTGAGTACTTACTATATGGCAAACATCATGCTAAAGAACTTCAAAAACATTATTTCATTTACTCGTCTTATAAACTCTTCAAAAGTAGGTAGTCTTTTATCTCCAATAACCCATTATCAAGCTAATAGTTGAGCCACACAAATATGCCTCTTAAACCCATGATTGTAGCTACTATGCTGTATTGCCCCTCTTTACTTTGTCCCTCCTTTATCTCTTTTTCTCATCTCCCTCTGCCCTTATCTTTCACAGTGATTAAACTGTTAATATACAAGATATGGGTTATTTAAATTATGTAATTATTTACATATTAAGTAATACTTATTATTTTTATTTTTTTCGTGGACCATACCTGATACTTAAGATACTTCTTAAATAACAATTTTAAATGAATAAACATTACTTACATTGTTCATTGATTAAGTTTTTGGAAACCTGAGACACATTCAAAGCCTTTAGGGAAAAAAATGTCAAATTCTGAGAAATGCCTGCCACATGATAAAGTTAGAAAACACTTTAGAATGATGGGTAAGGAAATAAAGACAATCTGATTATGTGCCTTTACTGACTGTTCTCCATGCAGGCCTTACTTTCTAAAATACAAAGAGATTAGAAAATAAAACATCGAAGGTAGAGTTAAACAAGCTGAGTTAGAGAAAAGTGACAATAAGAGTACTACTATATTGCCTTTCCTCAGTCAAATTTTTGCTCAATGTAAATAACTTCTCTTTTTGCAGAGAAAGCTTTTTTTCCCTAAAAATTGCTTCAGTGAATCATATGTTGCTAATATCCCTAAATTTTATTTCTTTTCCGTAGATACATGACAAATCTGAAGAGCTCCATGTAATAACATCAGAAAAAAATAAATTATTTTCTGAAGTAGTTCATAAGGAGAGTAGAGTTCAAGGTTTACTTGAAGAAATTGGGAAAACAAAAGATGACCTAGCAACTACCCAGTCAAATTATAAAAGCACTGATCAGGAATTCCAAAATTTCAAAACCCTTCATATTGACTTTGAGCAAAAGTATAAGATGGTCCTTGAGGAGAATGCGAGAATGAATCAGGAAATAGTTAATCTCTCTAAAGAAGCACAAAAATTTGATTCAAGTTTGGATGCTTTGAAGACCGAGGTTGGTAAAAGATGCTATTTTGAGAAATGCTCCTTAGTCTCCTGGGGTTTTGGTTTCTGTGTATATGTATGCCTCAGACTGCTCTGCTTTTACTGTGTGACATTAACTTTTTCTTTTTTAAAGCTTTCTTACAAGACCCAAGAACTTCAGAAGAAAACATGTGAGGTTCAAGAAAGACTAAATGAGATGGAAGAGCTGAAGGAACAATTAGAAAATAGAGATTCTACACTGCAAACTGTAGAAAGGGAGAAAACACTGATTACTGAGAAACTGCAGCAAACTTTAGAAGAAGTAAAAACTTTAACTCAAGAAAAAGATGACCTAAAACAACTCCAAAAGAGCTTGCAAATTGAGAGGGACCAACTCAAAAGTGATATTCACGATACTGTAAACATGGTAAGGTTTTGATTGATTAAACTTTGAAAAATTGGAGACCCTTAAAAACATTGCAGAGGCCATCATTTATTATTTATGATTATGTACTTATGAAATAATTTTGTTTCATATTCTCATGGAAATTGTTTTTATATTTCTCTAACAAAGAACATAGATACTCAAGAACAATTACGAAATGCCCTTGAATCTTTGAAACAACATCAAGAAACAATTAATACACTAAAATTGAAAATTTCTGAGGAAGTTTCCAGGAATTTGCATATGGAGGAAAATACAGGAGAAACTAAAGATGAATTTCAGCAAAAGGTAAAGGGTGTTTATTTTCAAAGTTTTCATATACTTGTATATATACACTTTAACCTCAAATACTTAAACATAATATTCTCAATTTTATTTGTTATTCACAATGGTAATAACTAACAATTTGACAAACTTATCCAATTAGAAAAGGAAGGGGCCCAAAAAAGTGTTAGTCCAAATTTTGCATAGCTGATACTTATTTTATGTCAGATTTTCTATACTAAACTTGCTTAGAGTTTACAATTCAGTCCATTGCAGGGAGGATTGCCTTATAATGTTATACCAGGGTTTCATTCATTAATAGTATTCTTTTCTACTTTCCTAAAACACCTCTAAGGTATATTGGTAACAGTAATTTTTAAATAATATATCATTTTTATTATAGTTCATATTATTTTATCCAGAGTATTTACTGCTAGAATTTGAAAATATTCTTCACTAGGAGACTGGTGAAATAATCTTCTGTAAATCTATAGCTTGGAATAGTATATAGTAGTATATATTTTTTAAATTGGTAGTGAAATACACATGACATAAAATTTACCACCTTAACCATTTTAAGTATATACTTCACTAGTGTAAAGTTCATTCACATTGTGATACCACCAATTTCCAGAATTCTTTTCATCTTGCAAAAACCAAAACTATACCCACTGGGCAACAACTCCCCATTTTCCTTCCCCACAGACCCTGGCTACCACCATTTTACTTTTCTGTCTTTATGAATTTGACTACTCTAAGTACCTCATGTAAGTGGAATCATGCAGTATTTGTCTTTTTGTAACTGACCTATCTCATTTTGCATAATGTCTTCATCCATGTTGTGGCATGTGTTAGAATTCCCTTCCTTTTTATGGGTAAATTTCCATTATATGTATATGCTACATTTTGCTTATCTATGCATCCGTCATGGACACTTGGGTTGCTTCTACCCATTATTGGCTATTGTGAATAATGCTCCTATGAACATGGGTGAACAAATACCTCTTCAAAACCCTGCTTTCAATTATTTTGGATATGTATATATCCAGAAGTGGAATTGCTAGGTTATATGGTAATTCTATTTTTAATTTTTTGAGAAAGCACCATAGTGTTTTCCATAACAGCTGTACCATTTTACTTCCCACCAAAAGGACATAAATGTTCTGATTTATCTGCATCTTTGCCAACACACTATTTTCTGTTTTTTTTGATAGTAGCCATCCTAATGGATGTGAGGCAGTATCTCATCGTGGTTTTGAGTTGCATTTTTCTGATGATTAGTGATGTCGAATGTCTTCGTGTGCTTTTTGGCCATTTGTTTATCTTCCTTGCAGAAATGTCTGTTTAAGTCTTTTGCCCGTTTTTGTGTTGGGTTGTTTGATTTTTGTTGTTGGGTTGTAGGAGTTCTTTATACTTCTGAATATTACCCCTTTATCAGTTATATGCAATATTGCAGAAATTTTCTCCCATTCCATAGGTTGTCGTTTTACTCTGTTGATTGTATCCTTTGATATACAGAAGTTTTTAATTTCAATGTAGTCAAGTTTATTTATTTTTACTCTTGTTGCCTGTGTTTTGGTGTCATATCCAAGAAATCATTGCCAAGACCTTTCTCATGAATCTATTCCCCTATGTTTTTTTGTAAGAGTTTTGTGATTTTCGCTCTTATGTTTAGGCCTGTAATCCATTTTGCATTTATTTGTATATATAGTGTAAGGTCAGGGCACAACTTCATTCTTTTGTGTGTGGCTGTTGTTTTCCCAACACCATTTTTTGAAAAGATCATCCTGTCCCCATTGAGTAGTCTTGGCATCCTTGTTGAAGATAGTGGACCATATACACAAGTGTTAATTTCTGGGCTTTCTATTCTGTTCCAGTGGTTTATATGTCAGTCTTTATGATAGCACCACACTGTTTTGATTATTGTAGCTTTATAAGTTTTGAAATCAGGAAGTATAAGACCTTCAACTTCATTCTTCTTTTTAAAGATTCTTTTCTCTATTTGGGATCCTTTAAGATTCTATATGAATCTTAGGATAGATTTTTCTAATTCTGCAAAAAACGCCATTGGGATTTTGATAGGGATTACATTAAATCTGTAGATTGTTCGGTAGTATTGATGTCTTAAAAATATTGTCTTCTAATCCATGAATGTGGGATGTCTTTCCATTTGTGTCTTCTTTAATTTCTTCTCAGCAACATTTACAGTTTTCAACAGATAAGTCTTTCACCTACTTGGTTAAGTTTATTCTTAGTATTTTATTCTTTTTTGATGCTATTATACATAAAATTGTCTTAATTTCTTCTTTGGGTTGTTCATTGTTAGTGTACAGAAGTGCAACTGATATTTGTACAGTCATGCATTTTTAACAGAATACATTATTAAATAAAAGCAAATACATATTTCAAAGTAATTCGGTAAGATCCAATTGATATAAAAAAATCTCTGTACATTTATATATTACTTCTATAAAATGAGCTGCATTTTCCCCCATTTACTCCGGGGCAAAATAGTGCCTTGGAAAAAGGAACTTTTTTTTTATTTCCATCTCCTTATGCTTTAGTTCCTCTCTCTCACTTGTTCTGTATCTTATGTTCTCAGCATATTTATAATCTGGAATAACCATAGGCCAAAGGCATTTGACCTCAATTTGAAATTTACCCCCAGCACCAATGGCTCATGCCTGTAACCCTAGCACTTTCAGAGGTCAAAGTGGGCAGATGGCTTGATTCCAGGAGTTCAAGACTAGCCTAGGCAATATAGTGAAACCCCGTCTCTACAAAAAAAAAATACAAAAATTAGCCAGGCATGGTAGCAACGCTCCTGTAGTCTCAGCCACTCAGGAGGCTGAGGTAGGAGAATCACCTGAATCCAGGAAGGTTGAGGCTGCAGTGAGCCCAGATCACTCCACAGCACTCCAGCCTGGGCAACAGAGTGAGACCCTGTCTAAAAAAAAAAGAAAGAAAGAAATAACTTCCACTTTTATGATGGGGAGATTTTTTTAGTAGACTTTTGACAATATATGGCAATTAATAACTTTTAAAAAAAATCTAAAATGCAATTATAGAGAAAATAGAAGATGAAGGGAAGAGTAGAGTTATACTCACTGGGAACAGCTAAGATCCTATGTTTCCAAGTTTATGCTGGAATCATTTATCCATATTGATAAAAGGATATAACTGGGGCTTTTCTGAGGCCATTCTGTTCATCAGGGATCCTAAAGTCTGGGACAGAAGGCTGAGATCAGTTTGGTCTTGTATCGTGCTCATGCTGGAATCTGGCCTGGGAATAAAAGAGTGGAAATGGGGAATTTCAGGTGCTCCCCTGTTCATCTGGGCACCAGAGAGCTGCACTAGCAGGTCTATCATGAATCTCCTTGGAATGCTCATTTTCAGTCCTACTTGATGTGTCTGTTTCTGGAAATGCAGTATCTTCAATGTATCTCAACAAAAATATTTTATGATTAGTAAACTTATATAAAGGACATTTTTTTTCCTTTTTCACATGTTCTAACAATTTTTTATTTAATAATTAGATCTATTAGATTTTATTAATTACTGTGATAGTCGAAGTATCTTCTAGGCTGAGTTCAGATTTAAAATAAACCTTGACTATCATTACAGAACATTTTGTCTCAATCTGCTTTGTATTTGAAAGATATGAGATTCTGAATTATAATATCTAACAGACTAGTTCCAAAAGACTATGTGTTCCCCACCTTAATTTCTCTTGTAGTTAGCTCTGTGTTCACCATTATCAGAAGCTCATGCACATTACCAACAATAAGGGGGTTGCTAAATAAAGTATGGTTTATGTCTACTCTAGAGAATTAAGCAGCTACTAAAAATTATTTGTAGGTTACATAACAGCATGTGAAAATACGTATGATCTAAGTGGAAAAGATTAAAAACTAAAAAGAATCACATATATAAATTAATTACAATAGCTATGTTTAAAAAAAAAAAAAACTTTTAATGGCAAAAACTCTAGAAGTAAATTTACCAGAATTCTAATAGTTTGTTATGTGAAGTTGGTGACAATGGATGATTTTTATCCTTTATTTTTCTCTTGTTTTCTAATGTGATTATAAATTATTATAAAAACTTTTAAATACCTGTGTAGGCAATATGGGGCTGTTTGCTGAACTAGAGTAATGTTATATAATAATACCCTAAATTTATACCAGCAATAGTAATTTCAGTCTCTGTCTCCCTTTACCAATGAGTTCATGCATTAGGTTACCTTTGGTCATGACTTATTTATGGATAAATGAATTTATATAACGTATTTTTCTTAAGCAGCATATAAAATATACATACATTAAGAAAAGATGAATTTCGCCCTGATGAAATAGGTCTCTATCAAAATTATTTAGCCCTCTACATATAATAAAACTCCAGCCTTTTGTAAGTAGGACTGCCGCTGAAAATAAAGATTTGCAGGGAGTGGGAGACGGAATGATTCCCAGCTTTTACGAGGAAATATAGATAAAGCGATAGAGTTCAAGATTGTTTACTCCTTTAGTAGTAAATAAACAAACTGCTACTCGAATGAAACTTGGAAAATATTTATGGAAGATATGTACAAACTAAAGTCAGATATCCTTTGTGTATTAATGTCATTATTTTGAAGTAAGTAAACATGCAGAATCATGTTAACCTATCATACATGAAGACAATTATTAATATTTATAGTTGTCCATATTGTTCTGATTAGTGAACAGACATAAGAGCACAAACTTGGAGCCAGACCACTTGGATTCAAAATCTGGCTAAGCCTCTGAGTGACCTTGGCAAGTGACTTTACCTCTCTCGAGTTCAGTTTCCTCATCTGTCAAATGAGGATTACAGTAATACCTGCCTCATAAAGTTACAGTCAAGATTAAATGTGTTAAGATATGAGAATAGTACCTGGCACATAAGAGATGTATTGGCTATTTTTATTATTTTTAAAGTCGTTGTTAACTACTTAAGAGATTCTTCTGTAATGTGTTTATGTTTTAGATGGTTGGCATAGATAAAAAACAGGATTTGGAAGCTAAAAATACCCAAACACTAACTGCAGATGTTAAGGATGATGAGATAATCGAGCAACAGAGGAAGATATTTTCTTTAATACAGGAGAAGAATGAACTCCAACAAGTGTTAGAGAGTGTTATAGCAGAAAAGGAACAATTGAAGACTGACCTAAAGGAAAATATTGAAATGGTAGGATTTAGCACTGTATACTTGGCAATACCTTTTTGTCTTCTTTGTTTCAGATTTTTATCAACTTTATTGAGGTATAATTTATATGCAATAAAATTATATGCAATAAATGTATCTGATGGAAGTGTATGGTCTGACGACTTTTAACAAATGTCTCTACCCATTTTCTCTTCACCCCAGTCAAGATAGAAGACGTTCCATCACCCCCAGAAAGTTTCCTCACACCCCTGTCACAGGCGCTCATCACCTCCTCCCCGCCAGATTATCAGTCATGATATGTTCACCTTAAATCATTTGTCTCCTCTAAAGCTTTATACAAATAGAATCATACAGTGTGTCGTCTGTTATGTTTGACTTTCTACACTCCCTTTTACTGCCAAGGAATAGTTCCTTGCATTAATACACCGTAATTTTTTTATTCTTTTTCCTATTGATGGAAATTTGGGTTATGTTCAGTATTTGGCTATTTTGAATAAAACTGCTATAAACATTCTTGTACAACTCTTTTTATTTACATATCTTTATTTATATAAGGTAAATATCTAAATGGAATTGCTGTGTCATAGGAAAGAATATGTTTAACCTGATGAGAATTTGCTAGACTGATTTCCAAAGTAATTATATCATTTTACATTCCCATTAGCAAATTAAGAGAATTCTGGTGGCTCAAACATCCTTCTTCATCAACACTTCATATTTATTGGTGCTTTTAATTTTAGCAGTTCTAATGGGTGTGTAGATTGTTATTTTAATTTGCCTTTCCCTGATGACTAAAGATGTTGAACATTTTTTCTTGTGTTTATAGACCATTGTATATCTTTTATTTTTTGCTGTCATAATTTTTAAATTTTATTTTTAATTGTTTGTTGTTGATGTCTGCCAATATTTTCACACATTAGTTTTTCTATGTTTAGGGGTGATATAATGTGTATCAGTTGAAATAAATACTTGGAGAAGTTCACTGTGGATCATAGTAGAATGTGACCATTTGTATTGTTTTAATTTTGTAAGTTTTGGGGATGTCTGCTTTGTCAAAAGAGCAGAATGTAAATAAACATGCTAACAAACAATGATATTTTCTTCTCAGTCTCTGGCTTGTTATGTTTTTGTGGTCTTGATACCTGAGAATATCACTGTGTGAGCCTAATAACTAGGATCAGCCCAAGTCATGCTAGCAGAGGGTGGCTACCATTTTGAGCTTGCTGGCAGTTATCAGTGCTAAAACTGAAGCCATCCCAGTATTTGAAAAAAACATAGCTATAGTCTTTTTATTACTCAGTGATAGCTCAGAAAAAGTCTCTTTTGGCTTAAAGGCAGAAATGAGCTAAGCTCTCATGATAAAATGTTAAATCCAATTCTAATTCTCATGGTAGGAATGTAAATTGAGCAGTAAAGAAACAGTATAAAAAGCAGATTCTTGGCGTCTTGTATTGTTAAATTAAGGACTTCTCTTTTTTGAAATTTGTCTTTTCCTATATAGTTTTCCCTGATTTCTTCATTTGCAGACCAAGGGAAATGCTGATATTTTACCTGATTTCATAAATGTTAGCTAATATTTAACTTTAATCTCAACTTGTTTTTCTTTCTAGACCATTGAAAACCAGGAAGAATTAAGAATTCTTGGAGATGAACTTAAAAAGCAGCAAGAGATAGTTGCACAAGAAAAGAACCATACCATAAAGAAAGAAGAAGAGCTTTCTAGGACCTGTGACAGACTGGCAGAAGTTGAAGAAAAACTAAAGGAAAAGGTAAATTTTTAAAATTATTTCCCTGGCCATTTTTCCTAACTAAACTTTTTTTTGCTAATTTTTATTTCTGTAGACCTAAATCCAGAAATAGCACATACCTCCCAAATGAACATATTTCAATGCTAGCATTTTGGACAGTTTCAACTTACACTGAGATCTAAACTAACATACCTTGTGAGGATTATATTATTCTAGAGTCTTTAGGTGAGAGAGGGTTTTGTATCACTTAAACAAATCATATGATGTATTCATTCATCAAATATTTACTGAGCACTGTCATGGGCCAGGCACTGTTCTGGGCACTTGAGATATATTAGTCAACAAAACAAAGATTCTTTCCTTGCAGAGATCATTAGCCATTCTCTGAAATGTAAGATTTATCACTGTTACCATCTCTTAGATGTTTGCAGTCTCCCAAATCATTTCTTATATAGAAGTTAGGTGTTATTGGGATATTTGTGTAAGAGCTAAGACCCCTGTAACAGCTGTAGTTCCCAAGAGATTCTAAAATGCACCCATAGAAATCTTTCTATACAAGCTAAGGGCAGTGCCACTTGCATAATAGATAATATACTGTGGTTCTATTATTATTCTGTGGAATATTTTTTCCTTTTTCTTTCCTTTTTTTTTTGAAACAGGGTCTCACTCTGTCAGCCAGGCTGGAGTGCAGTGGCATGATCACAGCTCACTGTAGCCTCAACCCCCCTGGGTTCAGGCAGTCCTCCCACTTCAGCCTCCCAAGTAGCTGGGACTAAATTAGCTGTGCCACAACACCCAGCTAATTTTTGTATTTTTGGTAGAAACGAGGTCTCACTATGTTGCCCAGGCTGGTCTCGAACTCCTGGGCTCAAGCAGTCCTCCTGCCTCAGCCTCCCAGAGTGCTAGGATTACAGGTGTGAACCATCATGACCAGCCTGTTTTTTTTCCTTAATGTGTGTTTTCTTTTAATTCTGATCCCTTTCACTATCTCACCTAACTAAATTTAGTAAGACCTTATGTCTACGTCATACTCCTATAAAAAAGGTAAAATCAGCCTATGAAGGTTAATGTCTCAGTATTTTGGGGAGCCACCCATAAGCATCTCATTGGAAGTGAAAATAAATTCTCCAAAAGTTTTTAAGAGGATGAGGAATTACAGTTATTTGGTAGCTGTATTTGTATATTTAATTAGTGTCTTTGCTTTTTTACTTTATCTCATCTTCCCCTTATCTCTTTAATCAGTTTATTTTATCTGCTTAATCAGCCTGTATCAATTTCCTAGGGCTGCCATAGCAAATTGCTGTGAACTCGATGGCTTACAATAGAGACATATTCTGTCACAGTTCTGAGTCCTAGAAGTCCAAATTTGAAGTGTCAGCAATACCATATTCCCTCTGAAGGCTCTGAGGAAGAATCATTCCTTGCTTCTTCCTAGCTTCCAGTGTCTCCCATTACCCTTCGCATTCCTTGACTTGTAACTGTTTCACATGACCTCCTTCTCTGTGCCTCTCTGTGTGCTTTTATGTCTCTTATAAACACACTCTTTGGAATCAAGACCTACACCAGTAGGATCATATCTCAATCCTAATCCAATTGCATTTGCAAAGACTCTGTTTCCAAATAAGTTCACATTCTGAGGTTCCTAGGAGACATGAATTTTGGGTGGGACAATATTCAATCCACTACAGACATTTATGCCTGTGAGTTTTGTTTACTTTTAATGCTACTTGTCTATTTATATGGTGATAGGAGGCAGGGCTGTTAATGATTTTATGTAAGAATTTTGAGAATATAGATAAAATGGTAATTATAAAAATTGTGCATTTTAAGAGCCAGCAACTCCAAGAAAAACAGCAACAACTTCTTAATGTACAAGAAGAGATGAGTGAGATGCAGAAAAAGATTAATGAAATGGAGAATTTAAAGAATGAATTAAAGAACAAAGAATTGACATTGGAACATAGGGAAACAGAGAGACTTGGGTTGGCTCAGAAACTTAATGAAAATTATGAGGAAATGAAATCTATAACCAAAGAAAGAAAAGTTCTGAAGGAATTACAGGAGTCATTTGAAACAGAGAGAGACCAACTTAGAGGATATATAAGAGAAATTGAAGCTACAGTAAGTTATACCCTTTTCCTTCATCTATTAAGTGTTTCTTTTAAAATCTGAGCCACTTGGAAAGAGGAGAGCAATGTTGGAATAATGTTACAATATTCTTTAAATTTCACTTGGCAAGGGCCTACAAACAAAAGAAGAACTAAAAATTGCTCACATTCACCTAAAAGAACACCAAGAAACTATTGATAAACTAAGAAGAAGTGTATCTGAGAAGACAGCTCAAATAACAAATATTCAGGACTTAGAAAAATCCTATACCAAATTACAAGAAGAGGTATGTCTTTTATTCCTTTCATCCTTTGTCACTTCTTCCTTCCTTTCTGCTTTGAGGGAAAAATAAGCAGTAAGAAGTGGCTAGGATGTGGTTTGTTAATTGCCTGGGTATTTGCTGAGTGTCTAATGTGGCAGGCATACTCCTGGGTTACAGAAATACAATGAGAACAAGGTGGACAAAACCCCTAAAATCCCTCCGATCCATTTGTAGTGAAAGAAGGCTGATAAATAAGCACTCAAATGAACAAGAAAACATCAAATAGTGGTAAATGCTATGGAGAAAGTGAAACATTGGGATAACAGGGCCAACCTATATTAAGTCTACTCCATGCCAGACATTGAGATTGTGGATATAAATAAGACATTGTTCTTTCACCCCATTATAAGCTAGAAAAAAAAAATCCCTTAATTCCAATATGGTAAATGCAGAAATATGCAAAATTACATGGTACCACTAATTTATCATGGAAAGAGAAATCAATCTATACACATAGAAAAATTAAGACATAGCATTGGAGCCCATCTGAAAATGGAAATCATACACTTATTGGGTTATAGTTTGCTCAACTATGGTTTTTCTCTTATAGCATTTGGAAACTAGTGGAGAAATAAGAAATATGCAACAGACTGCTAGTAAAGTATAAGGATTGGTTCACTTTGGGTCTGAGCTAGAAAGAAGGAAAATTATGACAGAATATGACTACCAGAAAAGTCATGAATAGCTTTAGCAGGAATTCAGGGAAAATGAGTAATGAGGAGTTTGTGATCCAAGGTAGGCCTTAGGGTTCAAAATGACTTTCCTTGCCGTGAAAAGTATCCTGATCTTTTCCCTTTAAATATTTATAATAGCCAGCCGGATGCAGTGGCTCACACCTGTAATCCCAGCACTTTGGGAGGCCAAGGCAGGCAGATCACCTGAAGTCAGGAGTTTGAGACCAGCCTGGCCAACATGGTGAAACCCCGTCTCTACTAAAAATGCAAAAATTAGCCAGGCATAGTAGCACACACCTGTAATCCCAGCTACTCAGGAGACGGAGACAGGAGAATTTCTTAAACCCAGGAGGCGGAGGTTGCAGTGAGCTGAGATCGCGCCACTGCACTCCAACCTGGGCAACAGAGTGAGATGCCATCTCAAAAAAAAAAAAAAAAAATATATATATATATATATGATAATAATCTGCAGATAGTAACCTTGGCATTTTATGAATGTCCTAAGATCCCAGTGCTTAATGAGGAACGGGAGTTACTTCCTAATGTGAAAGAAGTCAGTGAGACTCAGGAAACTGTGAATGAACTGGAGTTATTAAAAGAACAGTCCACAATCAAGGACTCAACAACACTGGCAAGCATAGAAATGGAAAGGCTCAAGTTGAATGAAAAATTTCAAGAAAGTCAGGAAGAGATAAAATCTCTAACCAAGGAAAGAGACAACCTTAAAATGATAAAAGAAGCCCTTGAAGTTAAACATGACCAGCTGAAAGAACACATTAGAGAAACTTTGGCTAAAGTAAGTTTCATATTTTCCTCTCATTTTAATAACTGTCTTATAAGAATCAAGGCTTGTTTTGTGTTATAGTTATAATGTTTGTTTTATAATTGTGTTACCAGTTTTTTAATTTCTCTTAATCATGAAATGACTAGAACAGAACAATTAAAAATTGCTTATAAATACCAAGAACCTATTGAAACAGAGATGTTTCAGAGAAAAGAACTGTTTTCTTAAATATTAAAAAAAAAAAATTTAGAAAAAATAATTCTAAATTACAAGAAAGGGTGAAACCAAATATGAGATTGTTTTATTTTCTTCTTTAAACCTGTTCCTTTAATGTTTCATAAGGCACTACTCGCTTTTCTCATTGTTTTAGTCAGAAATCTGGGAGCTATCCCTATTAATATCTCCTCCTCTCTGCTTATTTTATAATCCAGTTTCCAAATCTTGTTGATTTTAGTGTGTGTTTTAAAAATCATCCTGCTTTTCTGTCCACACTGCCACCACCCTAATCCAACTCAACATCATTTCTTTCCCTGGGTATCTGCAGTAGCCTCCTAACTTGTCTTCCCATACTCATTCTTACACTTCTCTAATCCAGTTTCTACACTGGGCCTAAATGATCCTTTCTTACATTATTTTAATACCTTATTGCTACTTTTTAAATAAAGACCAGGATTCTCTATGTGGCCTATGAGGCCCAAGGTGCAGATCTTACCGGTCTTATTTCAATTTACTCTTCTTCCTATTCTTTGTTCTCCAACCACACTCATGTATTGCTCTTCCTCAGCTCATGGCTTTCAGATTCTCAAGTCTCTCTACCTGCAGTACTTCCATACTCCTTTTAGCCTAACTAATGCTCTCATCCTTCAGATCTCAGTTAAAGCTTTCTCTCCTCTAGGAAGCCCTTTCTAATCGTTCACAATAGATTATATATGACACTTGGACCCTAGGAGAAGTCAACATCTCTGTTTGGTAAGATTCGACATCATATCTATCTTTGTCCTTAAAGTATAAGTGTCAAAAAGAGAGAGATCCTGTAAGTCTCATGATTTTATCTCCAGCCTCAAATAAGATGCTGACAACACAGTGAGACCTCAATTTTTAAAAGGCGTTAAATGCCTGAGTAATGGAAGAGTGGGAGAATGGAGAGATTGCTCTGTAAATGAGGCATTGAATCCTGCCTTAATTGTTTTAGAAAGCATCCTGATTTATTTTCCCCTAAAACACAGTATCTCTGGATATCAACTATACTGTTTTATGATTCTCTTAAGATCCAAGAGTCTCAAAGCAAACAAGAACAGTCCTTAAATATGAAAGAAAAAGACAATGAGACTACTAAAATTCTGAGTGAGATGGAGCAATTCAAACCCAAAGATTCAGCACTACTAAGGATAGAAATAGAAATGCTCAGATTGTCCAAAAGACTTCAAGAAAGTCATGATGAAATGAAGTCTGTAGCTAAGGAGAAAGATGACCTACAGAGGCTGCAAGAAGTTCTTCAGTCTGAAAGTGACCAGCTCAAAGAAAATATAAAAGAAATTGCAGCTAAAGTAGGTTTCATCTTTTCACCATGTTTTTAAAAAATATTTTGTAACCAAATATTTTTATAAACCCTAAATATTTGGAAAAGGGAGTTAATTACAGCATCATAGTTATAATGTTTCTGTAAATTTATTGAATTTCCTCTAATAATAAAGCACCTGGAAACTGAAGAGGAACTTAAAGTTGTTCATTGTTGCCTGAAAGAACAAAAGGAAACTATTGATGAGTTAAGAGTGAATATTTCAGAGAAGGAAACTGAAATATCAACCATTCAAAAAGAATTAGAAGCAATCAATGATAAATTACAGAACAAGGTAAATTGGGGATGAAGAAACAGTGGGAGGAAAATGGGTGGGGGTGGAGTAGCTAACTGGATTATGAAGATTGCTGTTTAGCATACTTAATTGTTTTGGAAGACAACCTTTTCCCCCTGTGTGTGTGTGTTTACATTTTTTTTACTATTATTTTATAATTATGTTTAAGATCCAGGAGATTTATAAGAAAGAGGAACAACTTAATATAAAACGAATTAGTGAGACTCAGGAAAACGTGAATGAACTGAAACAATTCAAGGAACATCTCAAAGCCAAGGATTCAGTACTACAAAGTATAGAAAGTAAGATGCTCGAGTTGACTAGCAGACTTCAAGAAAGTCAAGAAGAAATACAAATTATGATTAAGGAAAAAGAGGAAATGAAAAGAGTACAGGAGGCCCTTCAGATAGAGAGAGACCAACTGCAAGAAAACACTAAAGAAATTATAGCTAAAGTAAGTTTCCATCTTACTTTTTTTGGATACAGAAATAGTGTTAAGGTGATAATGATGGTGTTCTTGTGATGTTTTATTGATTTTCCTCTAATCATAAGGGACTGGAAATAAAAGAGGAATCAAAAACTGCTTATATTCAACTTAGTACCAATAAACTGTTAGTAGACAGAATATTTCAGAGAAGACAGCTCAAGTAGCAAATATTCATTGGGATTTAGGAAATTCTGATGGTGAATTATAGGAAGAAGTGGGACTTGTTTTGTTAAATTGGAAAATGACATCTAAGTATTGTTACTCATATCCCTTATGAAAGAAAGCAGTTTATACTTTAGATTACAATGTAAAAATGATTGCCTTATTTTAGGGACAATTCTTCCTTTTCCTAAAAAAATTCTGCCTGTGTTGTAACTTACTTTATAATTTTCTCAGATGCAAGAATCTCAAGAAAAAGAATATCAGTTTCTTAAGATGACAGCTGTCAATGAGACTCAGGAAAAAATGTATGAAATAGAACACTTGAAGGAGCAATTTAAGACCCAGAAGTTAAACCTGGAAAACATAGAAACGGAGAATATAAGGTTGACTCAGATACTACATGAAAACCTTGAAGAAATGAGATCTGTAACAAAAGAAAGAGATGACCTTAGGAATGTGGAGGAGACGCTCAAAGTAGAGAGAGACCAGCTCAAGGAAAACCTTAGAGAAACTATAACTAGAGTGAGTTACCATCTCTCTATACCTCTAGTAACAATGGCATTGTGTCCTAAGAGAAAAATCTGCCATAGGGTTGGTGGGAGTATAAAATTGGTCCAATATTGAGGAAAGTTGGTGGTGGTATATTTGGTAATGCCTTCCAATTTTTTCAAAAGGTTTATTCATTGATCCACAAGTCAAATTGTAACTATCCTCCACACATTTGCACAACTGTATAAAGATATTTGTAGGATATTCTTTGCAACAAGTTGTATTAATGAAATAACACAAACAAAAACAGGGAAAATTCTAACCATCCATTGGTAGGGGACTGGTTAAATAAGTGCAGCATATTCACATCATGGAATACTATGCCACAAATAAAAAATGTAGTAGAGCTGTAGTGCTGATTTGAAGTGTGAAGTGTCCTGTTAGGGAACAGGGTAAGTTCAGGAGTAATGTATCTAGAATGTATTGACATCTAAAAGTAGCTTAGAGGGTGAGGACTAGGAGGCCTCAGAAGAGGGTGGAAGATTTTTTACCTCCTGCCTTATACCTTTCTATACCGTGTGAATGGTATTACTTTCAATGTATTATTTTTATTTTTCTATTAATAAAGGACCTAGAAAAACAAGAGGAGCTAAAAATTGTTCACATGTATCTGAAGGAGCACCAAGAAACTATTGATGAACTCAGAGGGATTGTTTCAGAGAAAACAAATGAAATATCAAATATGCAAAAGGACTTAGAAAACTCAAATGCTGCCTTAAAAGCACAGGTTTTTTTTTTTTTTTTTAAGTTATCTCAGTTACTGAGAGTTTGAATCAAATCTTTTTGTGTAATGAAACAAGATATGAAGTACCCTAAAATTGAAGGCAAGTGAGGACTTACTTGCCTACTCATTTTAGAAACTGTCATTGATCTTTTTGTGTCTGCTGATATCCTGACTTATTGTGTGATTATCTCAAGATAAAAGAACTTCAGAAGAAAGAACATTTTTTTGTTTGTTTTTTGAGACAAAGTCTCTCTGTGTCGCCTGGAGTGCAGGAGCATGATCTCGGGTTCAAGCGATTTTCCTACCTCAGCCTCCCAAGTAGCTAGGATTACAGATGCATGTCATCAAACCCAGCTAATTTTTGTATTTTTAGTAGAGACAGGATTTCACCGTGTTGGCCAGGATGGTCTCGATCTCCTGACCTCATGATCCACCCGCCTCGGCCTCCCAAAGTGCTGAGATTGCAGGCATGAGCCACCAGGCCCAGCCTCAACTTCTTAAAGTAAAAAATGATCTTAGGGAAATTATGTATCAAACAGGTCAGTTAAAGAAGTGACTAGAGGCCTAGAATGTAACTCTGGAAAGTGTAGAAATGGAGAAATTAAGATTGACTCAGAAGCTTCATGAAAACCTTAAGGATGTAAGATCTGTTACTAAGGAAAATGATGGCTTAAGAAGAGTAGAGGAAACCTTTAAAATTGAGCGAGACCAAGTTAGGGAAGGTCTTAGAGAAATAGAAGCTAAAATAAGCTCATTCCTCTCTCTAGCAATTCAATGTATTGTCTTCTTACAGCAATGAACCCTTCTTTGAACCAAGTATGACTGTTGGCAAGAATAAAATGATACAGCCTTTTAATTTGGTACTGTTCTTGAAAATGTTCAAGTCTGCAATTAGCATTTTCTTTATGGACTTTAGCCTACATATGTACCATTAAAGGACTGTGTGTGTCTATATACAAACACAACATATACATATACCACAGGTTATTTATTATAGTGATTTTAAAATTAAAAATGTGAAACAATCTAAATGTTCCTCGGAAGGAAACAGTAAATATAAACAGTATGTCAAAATACTATGCAATACTTAAAAAAAGTAATATATGTGTTATGTGTTTGCCTCTGAAAAGCAGAAGTAGAGTGTTAAGAGATGAGGACGGGGAAGAGAAAACCTGTAACTTAAAAACAACAGCAAAGATATAGACTAACACTATTATTATTTTTACTAAGAAAATATATCACTTTATTTTTAAAAAACTAATATTAAGATATGTCACTGTTTTTAAAATTTCTCTAATGATAAAGGATCTGAAAAAACAAGAGGAACTAAGAATTGCTCACATGCATCTGAAAGAGCACCAGGAAACTATTGACAAACTCAGAGGAATTGTTTCTGAGAAGACAGATAAAATATCAAATATGCAAAAAGATTTAGAAAATTCAAATGCTAAATTACAAGAAAAGGTATTTTTGTGGGGGGATTGTTTGATTGGATATCTGATTTGTCTGTGCCTAAAATTGTTGGGGATATAAAATGGTTCAACCACATTGGAAGACACGTTGGCAGTATTTACTAATGCTGGACGTAACCTGCCTGAGGCCCACATTTCCACTTATTGGGTATGTACCTCAGAGAAAAGAGTACATACATACGTCTATAAAAAGACACAAGAATGTTTATAGCAGCCTTATTTAAACTAGCAAAAAACTGAAAACTCAAATGTTCATCAGCAGGAAAATGGATACATACATTTTGATATCTAAGTTCAAAAGCAGGCAAAACTGAACCAGGATGATAAAGGTCAGAATAGTGGCTATCTCTAGGAAGGGGCACGCAGAAACTTTATGAAGTGCTGGAAATATTCTCTGTTTTAATCTGGGTTGTAGTTTCATAGATTTATTCCTGTGTCAAGAATAAATTAAGTTATACATTGAAGATTAGCATGCTTTATATATGTTATACCTCAAAAGAAAGTAAAATTCTATGTGGAATTGTGCAGGATATCAGTGAGAGTAACAGGGGTAGACAGTTGTCTTAATCAATTTAGAAACTATTATTTATCTGTCCCTAAAAAGCCACCTAACATATTATTTTATGATTATCTTAAGATTCAAGAACTTAAGGCAAATGAACATCAACTTTTTAAGTTAAAAAAAGATGTCAATGAGAAACAGAAAAAAGTGTCCGAAATGGAGCAACTAAAGAAACAAATAAAAGACCAAAGCTTAACTCTAAGTAAAATAGAAACAGAGAACTTAAATTTGGCTCAGAAACTTCATGAAAACCTTGAAGAAATGAAATCTGTAATGAAAGAAAGAGATAATCTAAGAAGAGTAGAGGAAACACTCAAACTGGAGAGAGACCAACTCATGGAAAGCCTACAAGAAACCAAAGCTAGAGTGAGTTGTGTTCTTTCTTTACCCTACCATTATATTCACATATTTGGGCAAAAATACAGTCTTCACTGCAGCATTGTGTGTGGTGACCAAAACCTAGAAGTAATCTAACTGTCCACCAATAAGGCACTATCTGTATAATGGATAACTAAGCATAAGAATGGAAAACTAAGCATAAGAATGGTGTACTCTTTATGTGATATTGATTTAGAAAGATGTCCAAGTGGTGTGAAAGGAGAAGGCTATGGAGGAGGCTACCAGCAGGAAATTTTACTTTACTGTTCTAATTTGGGAGGTTGTATAATGCTTGTTTTTAACTGTGAGTGTATAGTTTTTAAGATTTTGTTTAAACTCATTAATTATTAAGTAAAGGTAATGTGCTTTTATGTCATTACATTTCTTGATTTCTTCTAACAATAAAGGATCTGGAAATACAACAGGAACTAAAAACTGCTCATATGCTATCAAAAGAACACAAGGAAACTATTGATAAGCTTAGAGAAAAAATTTTAGAAAAGACAACTCAAATTTCAAACATTCAAAAGGATTTAGATAAATCAAAAGATGAATTACAGAAAAAGGTATGTGTTGTTTTGTTCTTCTTTTGGAAGTAACTTTGTCTGAATTATTCGTGGAATTAAAAAGATATAGATACAGATATGTAGATACACATGTGCATATAGAACACAAGTAGACACTATTTTCCTTCCTTGAAGAAACTGCTTACATTCTAACTTGTTTTACAATTATCTCAAGATCCAAGAACTTCGGAAAAAAGAACTTCATCTGCTTAGAATGAAAGAAGATGTCAATATGAGTCATAAAAAAATTAATGAGATGGAACAGTTGAAGAAGCAATTTGAGGCCCAAAACTTATCTATGCAAAATGTGAGAATGGATAACTTCCAGTTGACTAAGAAACTTCATGAAAGCCTTGAAGAAATTAGAATTGTAGCTAAAGAAAGAGATGAACTAAGGAGGATAAAAGAATCTCTCAAAATGGAAAGGGACCAATTCATAGCAACCTTAAGGGAAATGATAGCTAGAGTGAGTTCAGAATCTTCCCCTGTGTAGTAACTATTAATAAGAATTAAGCTTTTTTGAAAAGAATTACAATGTTTTTATTTCTCTTTCTGGAAATTTCTATGAACAGTAAAGGATAGTGGGAAATGGTTACTATAATTTTCACACAATAGAAAACAGTTTTAAAAGAAGCAAAAATATTTTCAGAAAATAATATTTAATTATTTTTATAAAGTGTTAAAGCAGACTATTTCCCTTTATATAACATTTTAAAGTTTTTTTTTTAAATCAAGAGATAGCATTATTCTAAATGGAGAAATATTTGAAAGATTAGATTTGTAAGAGAGCAAATATTCCCATTTCTCTACCTATACATGCTGGAGTTCTAGAGTTGGGCTCTTATTGGTGAAGTTAAAAGGAAAAAAAGGCAAGATAAATATAAAAATTAAGTTCCTCTGGTATGACTATTTTTAGATATTCAGAATTATATGTCTTAAAATATCTAATTAAATCCTCTTTTTAAAAGTAACAAAGTTCAGACAAATAAGTTGATTAAAATCTGTAAAAATATTGTTTATTCTCATTTCTTTATATGGGCCTTAACTAAGTTTATAAAGAGATTTAATTGATTCAACAAATATTCTTCTAGGTACTGTAGTGAACAAGATAAATAAGTGGGAGAAAATGTTTTTGTTTCACTTTATACTTTTTAATCAGAAATGCAAAATGTACACAGAATATGAACTTTTCCAAGGGGCTGGGAAGAATATATGACTAGGGTTTGAAACACAATAGACAGTACAGGTGATTTTAAGTATATTTGGTTGGTGGCAATAAGGTGCTTTAGGATAAAAGTAAGTGCCCCTGTTAAAACTACAAGTGAATAATGCAGAGATTTGGAAGAGTAGGAATCAGAAATTAAAATCTAATTTGTTTGTTTTCCTGGTTATTTGTTCGTTTATTTATTTATGTATTTATTTTTATAGAGACAGGGTCTCACTATGTATCCCAGGCTGGTTTTGGGCTCCTGAACTCAAGTGATCCTCCTGCCTCGGCCTCCCAGAGTGCTGGGATTACAGGCGTGAGCTACCATGCCTGGCCCGAAAATCTAATTTGTAGCTGTGAAAACAAATCCTATCTCCAAAAATTATATGGTTTTTCTACTTTTTTCCCAGTGAGTTGAGGTCACTCCCTATAAAACTTACTGGTACTGTTATTTATTTTCTGATGATTTTAACATTGCTTTTGAGTTACAAGTGTAATACTTAATTCCATTATTAAAATGTCATGTAATTTAAGTGTCCTGTTAGACATTATATGTGAATATAGTCATGACAAAAGCCCTGTTTATTTTATTTTCTTTTTACCAAAGCAGGACCAACAGAACCACCAAGTAAAACCTGAAAAAAGGTTACTAAGTGATGGACAACAGCACCTTACAGAAAGCCTGAGAGAAAAGTGCTCTAGAATAAAAGTAAGTACCTCCTGTTAAAACTACAAATCATTATTGGTTCCCTTCCAAAGACTTACCAAAACCTAAAGTGGAATTGAAGGAACCTCTGGAATGAATAGATAGTGCTCAGTATTTTTCTAAACATTGTAACCTAGTACAGGTGTGTATGTGTAATGCACACATACACAAACAACAATGGGACCTTGTGAATTTAAGTCCTCACCAGAAAGGTAATACTTGAGCAAATACCTGAAGGAGGTAAAGGGTCAGGCCATACAGATGTCTGAAAAGACCCTTATAGGCAAAGGGAACGGCGAGTACAAAGTTCCTGAGGCAGAAGACTCCGTGGTGGTTCAAGGAACATCGAAAAGGGGCAAGCTGCTAACAAATGAGTTCAGAGAGTTATCAGGGAAGAGGCACGCTGTGGGACACGAAAAAAGACTTTGAGTTTTATTAAGTGAGATGGAGATCCTTTGGTGAATTTTTACCGCAAGAGAAACATAATCTGACTTACATTTTAAAGGGATGACTCTTAATTGTTATATTGAAAATAGAGTGGAAGCAGGAAGACCATTATAAAAACTAATTTCAATCACCCAGGCAGAGATCATCCTGGCCTGTCCCAGAGAGGGAGCAATAGAGGTAGTGAGAAGTGTTGAGATTCTGAATATACATTCAAGGGAAAGCCAACAGGATTTGCAGTCACACCTGTTGGAATGCAAGATCTCTAAGGACATTTTTGTTTTGTTTATGACTGTATCGTTTAGCACATGCGTGACATAAGTCAGTGTTCAATATGCTGCTGTATACCGTAGCTGATTCATCCTAAAACCAAAAACAGGAATCACCTCTCCAACACTCCAGATTGATTAACATCTAGCTTTTCTTAAATTATTAAAAATAAAGGGCTCATTCTTGTGAGAACGCCCTTGTTTTATTGTTTAGCACCCTAAACTAAACATGTTACCCACTACATGATTACAGCAACTTGAATTTTACATATTTCTCTACCTGTGCTCTGACCAGTGTGTCACCTGGATAGCCTCAAGTCACTTGAGTCTATGGGCCCAGGTTTATTGCTTGTCTACTGTATGCCGCGTACCGTACTGGGTGTTTTACCTCATGATATAGGCTTTATTGCTCCGTTCATAAACAAGGAAACTGCGGCTCAGAAAGGAAGTTTAGCAGTTGCCCAAGGTTACACAGCTAGTAAATTGGCAGAATCTCAATTTTAAACTAAGTCAGACTTGTATCTGACTTATTTCAAAAGTTGGGTGTAAAAACATTTTTATAAATATAATTTTGTCTCCTTCAAGCTAAATGACTGTGTCTGTTTTATAGATTACATAGATATATAGGTATAGATCATATATTTTACTTGACCCCAGAAAACTTTGTGGTAATTATTGTGGTCTTCCTGTTGTGAAAATGGCTCAGTGACTTCCCCAGTCAAGAAGTGGCACAGCTGGAACCTGAACTCTACATCTGATAAAGGGATAGAAAACAGACTGTAGGCAGATAGTAGGATTGTGTGAAGTATCTATACCAAGCTGACAAATAGGTGGTTTGATTCTTAATCACTTGTTTTATCTGCTAACTCCGACTGCCTACTGTAAACATAAACCAGCACTGAACCATGAACTATAATACATACTTAATTGAATTTACTCAAATTTCTCATCAGACTTTGTCAATGTTGATTCAAATCATGAATATTCAAAAAACTAAAAGAAAATGCATCAAAATGTTAAGAATGGTTGGTCCTGGCTTTCTTTGTTATATTTGCTTAAATTTTTTAAATTGCCATAATGATTATCTATTATTTCTGTAATCCAAAATGACAAGAGTTTCCTTTTGTTTTTAAATACAAAGATCTTTATCTCTGCCCTACAGAAAATGTTAAAGCGTGAGTTTTGTTACAATTCTAGAGTTGTAACTACTTATTGTTATATTAGAATGAATTGTTACAAATTGAGTGAATTCTCATTTCCTTTAGGAGCTTTTGAAGAGATACTCAGAGATGGATGATCATTATGAGTGCTTGAATAGATTGTCTCTTGACTTGGAGAAGGAAATTGAAATCCAAAAAGAGCTTTCAATGAGAGTTAAAGCAAACCTCTCACTTCCCTATTTACAAACCAAACACATTGAAAAACTTTTTACTGCAAACCAGAGATGTTCCATGGAATTCCACAGAATCATGAAGAAACTTAAGGTACCATCTTTTTTAGTAATATCCTTGTAAATATAGCTGTAAATTTCAGTTATAAACATCAATGTATTGAAGTCCTGCTTCGGGTGCCAGCATATTTGCTATTTAGTATTCTTACTACCAAATTAAAGATTATGTGAGTCTGAGCACAGTAATATGTAGGATAGTCAATACACCTATCACCTGGTCATTCAACAACACCTGAACTCTGCCTGTGGGCCTGGACATTTTGTCAGGGTGCTCAGGAGACAGATGATAGTTAACATCTCAAAGATCTCATAGTCTGGGGTGAGACAGACATATAAACAGGTATTAAGTGCAATGATAGAAGTGCATGCAAGTTATATGACGTACTAAATAAAGTTACAGAAGATGAAACTGTAGTGGAAGCCAGACTCAATAACAAAGCTTGGGGTCCTTTTTGTAGATGGGGAATCATTAGACAGTTATTTTAAGTGGTGGTGGTAACAGGATCTGATTACCACTTAAGTACTAAACTAAAGAATAAAGAAGAAATGAGTTTGAGGGAGATAAGCCTAGTGGCAGAAAGCAATAAGAGGCAGTTACAGTGGTCCAGATGAGATTTTATATGTGACTGTACTACTAGGGAAGGTTTCATAGGGCTAGAGAGGACAAACAAGGTTAAAGAAATATTTAGCAGCTTAAAATAGCAGGTCTACATAATTGATAGTGGACATAAGGGAGAGAAGTTTAGATGGAGTTCTTAGATTTGGGCTTAGTGAGGTTTGTGGATAGTGGTACCATTAACTAAGATTCAAAAATAGAAAGAGAAACAAGGTAGGTGATGCAGGAGATTGTTTAATTTGAGATGTTTGGGGGCTGAAATACGTATGATGGAACATCCAAGAAGAGAAACCAAGTAGACATTTAGATGTGAGTTTGAGGTTTGGCAGGAGGAAAATAAGGACTAACATTTGAGACTGATCAGCATATAGGTGATAGATAATACATTTGTAAGATCATCCAGGAAACATAATGAAGAGTAAGAGCCTTAGGATAAAAACAGAACTCTGGAAAAGATAAATGTCTAAGAGTCAGTAGCAGAAAAGTGAGCAACACATGGGTTAAAGGTTGGAAAAGTCAAAGATAACAGGAGAGAACCTAGCAAAAGTGCTGCTACCCAAATCAGTGGAGAAAAGCATGTCAGAGATGAAGTTATGAGTGGCAAATACTTCAGAGAGTCAGAATATGGACTGAAGATATTCTCTCAATGTGGTGATAATAGAACTCATTAGTGATCATTGTCAGAACAGTTTCAATTGAGTAGTTAAGGAAGAGACCAGATTATAATAGGTTAAGGAATGGTGGAAGTTGAGGAATAAGGAAGCTGTTATCTACCCTACATGGGTAGATTGCCCTTCAGGCCCTGGTAATTCTTCCACAAATCCTGGTAATCAGACATCTAGAATTATTCATGAAGTCCATGAGACATATGACATTCAAATTGTTGTGTCCTTGAAGCCAAATATCTAAATATGCTTGACAAGGAAGTCTTTTTTGTTTTGTTTTTGAAATGGAGTCTTCCTCTGTTGCCCAGGCTGAAGTGCAGTGGTGCGATCTCAGCTCACTGCAAGCTCCGCCTCCTGGGTTCATGCCATTCTCCTGCCTCAGCCTCCCAAGTAGCTGGGACTGCAGGTGCCCACCACCACACCTAGCTAATTTTTTGTATTTTTAGTAGAGACAGGGTTTCACCATGTTAGCCAGGATGGTCTCCGTCTCCTGACCTTGTGATTCGCCTGCCTCGGCCTCCCAAAGTGCTAGGATTCAGGCATGAACCACTGTGTCTGGCCAACAAGGAAGTCTTGAGACATGTAACATCATCTTCTGGGTTACCCAATCAGGGTTACCCAATCAGGGTTGGCAGGATAGGATGTTGAAAATTAATCTCATGAGTTTAACTGGGAAACCCAGGTGATTGGCAATGTAATTAGCCAAAAACGGGGCGATAGAAAAAGGAGGACTTGTAGAAAAAGGGATCATGTTACATTTTAAACATGTTGAATTTGAAGTACTTGTAAGACATCCAAGAAGTATATCTAATAGGAAGTCAGAAATAAGGAAGTATAGGTCTGGGAGTTAGTTATTCTGCTAAGATACTCAGAGGAAAAAAATGGGGATAGAGAGAAGCTCTTTCCTTTTTCCTCACTTGTGAGAGGATATAGGTAAATAAGAGATGTCATCCTATCTCAGTCTCAAGGATTAAAACTTCCTGTAAATGTGACAAAATTTTCATTTTCCAATTTGTTTAATTTTTTCTGCAAGTATGTGTTAAGCTATGTTACAAAAATAAAAGAAGAACAACATGAGTCCATCAATAAATTTGAAATGGATTTTATTGATGAAGTGGAAAAGCAAAAGGAATTGCTAATTAAAATACAGCACCTTCAACAAGATTGTGATGTACCATCCAGAGAATTAAGAGATCTCAAATTGAACCAGAATATGGATCTACATATTGAGGTATAATTTATTTTAAATGGATTTAATTAGATTTTAAGCCTTTTTATCAAGTAGAAAGGTACTTTTTCATGTGTTTAGAGCTATTTTCATTTACCAGAAATTGAAAATAGGTTGCAGAGTGATACCTGGCCAGACATAAAGACTGGCAAATAATGGACTAGCCTCCCTTCAGACCTCCACAGATACAGGAAAATTTCTTAGGTCTGTACTAGGAGTCAGAAACTTCTTTATTGCAACAACTCCACATGGAATGTGTTACTTTTATTCATCTGTGTGAGGCTGGCATCCAATTCCCAACATGTATGTAAGGTCTGCTAAATGTACTAAAAAGCTACATTTAGAAACACTTCATGAAGCCAGCTCCAGTGGCATGCCTATAATTCCAGCCACTTAAGAGGCTCAGGCAGGAGGATCACTTGTCTCCAAGAATTCAAGACCAGCCTGGGCAACATAGTGAGACCATCTCAAAAAATAAAAATTAAGATGCACTTCAGGTATTGTAGCAATTAGTCACAAAACTGTCATTTTTACAAGTTTTTATTTTAATAGGTACAATCTGTTACATCACATATACCGCCCAAATTATATTATGCAAATAACTAGAATAAAGTTGTAACTTACAATTATATTTCTTAGTTTACTTTAAAATATTAAGAAGTGATGTAAAAAGGAAGAAAAGCAAGAGTCCAGTAGGTATTGCCCTCTTTTTATGGTATATATATATATATGATATTTGGATCAAAACTTTCCTAGTGTTTAAACAATTTGACACTTATTTTTCACACAGGAAATTCTCAAAGATTTCTCAGAAAGTGAGTTCCCTACCATAAAGACTGAATTTCAGCAAATACTAAGTAATAGGAAAGAAATGACACAGTTTTTGGAAGAGTGGTTAAATACTCGTTTTGATATAGAAAAGCTTAAAAATGGCATCCAGAAAGAAAATGATAGGATTTGTCAAATGAATAACTTCTTTAATAACAGAATAATTGTAAGTATTACTTTTTGCTGTACTACTTCTTTTTTGTTGCTGTTTGCTTTAATTGTCCTAACTCATTCTTAAAAGGGCAACTTATGTATATTTTCTTTATTTGTATATGCTTTTAAAAAATTGATTTGGTAAAACGTGTTCTTCCTCTAATGTATCCTTATCAATTCATACTGATCAAGGTAACGAAATCTTTTTGTATAATATTTAGTTTCCACTTGTGAAATCTTGAATCTTCTTACTCTTCTCTTTTTCTTCTCCTTCTCACTGCTTCTGTAAGAACTGAGCCTTTTACACAAGTAGCCTTAGAGATCTTAAGACATGAGTCTGTTTCAAGGCTATGGGCAGCAACTGTGGTAAAGTCATAGACAAGCCTGGTCAGCTACTTTAGTTGGGCCTCATGTGCTTTAATAAACTTTTTTTTTAAGAGCAGTTTTAGGATCACAGCAAAATTGAGCAGAAAGCACAGAGAGTTCCCATATATCCCATCTCCACAAACAATCTCTGCTATCAACAACCCACATCAGAGTGGCACATTTGGCACAATCAATAAACCTACACTGATACATCATTATCACCCAAAGTCTGTAGCTTACATTAGGGTTCACACTTGCATAGTATATTCTATGAGTTACAAGTGTAAAATGACATGTATCCATCATTACAGTGTCATACAGAGTAATTTTACTATCCTGCCATAAAAATCCGCTGTGTTCCACCTATATTCATCACTTCACCTTCCTAAACCGTGGCAGCTGCTAATCTTTTTACCGTCTCCATAGTATCACCTTTTCCAGAATGTCATATGTTGGAATCATACAGTATATATAGCCTTTTCAGGTTGACAGTTTTCACTTAGTAATATTTACTTACGTTTTCTCCATGTCTTTTCGTGGCTTCATAGCTCTTTTTTTTTTAATGCTGAATAATATTCCATTGTCTGTATGTACCTGTTTGTTTATCTACTCACCTACCAAATGATATTTTGGTGGCTTGTATGTTTTGGCAATTATGAATTCAGCTGCTGTAAACATACATGTATATATTTTTGTGTGGACATACATTTTCAACTCACTTGAGTAAATACCAAGGAATGCAATTTCTAGATCATATAGTAAAAATTTGTTTAGTTTTGTAAGAAACTGCCAGACAGTCTTCCAAAGGGGCTGTACCATTTTGTACTCCCAGCAACGAATAAAATTCCTGTTGCTCCGCATTCTCATCAGCATTTGGTGTTGTCAATTTGGGATTTTGACCATTCTAGTAAGTGTGTAGTAGTATCTCATTCAATCTCCAATTCTCTAATAACATATGATGTTGAACATTTTTTATAGTTATTTGTCATCTGTGTATCTTTTCTGGTGAAATGTCTCTTCAGGTCTGTTGCCCCTATTTTAGTCAGGTTATTTGTTTTCTCATTGTTAAGGTTTAAGAATTGTTTGTATACTTTGAATATTGGTCATTTATCAGATGTGTCTTGGAAATATATTCTACCAGTCTGTAGCTTGTCTTCTCATTCTCTTGGCATTGTATTTCATAGTGCAGATTTTTAGTGTTAAAAAAAGTCTAGCTTATCAATTATTTCTTTCATAGATTATGCCTTTGAGTTTGTATCTAAAATATCACCAAACCGAAGATCATCTAGATTTTCTCCTATGCTGTCTTCCATAGTTTTTGTTTTACATTTAAACCTATGATCCATCTTGAGTTAATTTTTCTGAAGTGCTTAAGGTCTTTTTTTTTTTTTTTTTTTTTTATTGCTTGTAGGTGTCCAGATTCAGCACCATTGTATTGTCTTTGCTCCTTTGTCAATGATCATTTGACCACGTGGGATCTATTTCTGAGCTCTCTATTCTATTCCATTGATCTATTTGTTCTTTCATTGATAGCAAATCTGAAAACTGCTGATTTTTATAGTAAATCTGGGAGTCAAGTAATGTCAGTTCTCTGACGTTTTTCAACATTGTGTTGGTTATTCTGGGTCCTTTGCCTCTCCATATAAACTTTGGAATTAGTTTGTCCCTATTCACAAAATGACTTCCTATGGTTTTGCTGGGATTCCTTCTAATTTAAAGATGGAAAGAACTGACATCTTAACAATATCGTGTCTTTTTATCCATGAATATGGAATATTTCTCCATTTATTTGATTCTTCTACTTTTTTATCAGAGTCTGGTAGTTTTTTTCATATAGATCTTGTATATATTTGTTAGATTTGCCTATGTATTTTATTTTGGGGGGGTGCTAGTAACATGATAATGTATTTTTAATTTCAAATTACACTTGTAAATTGCTGGTATACAGGAAAGCTATTAACTTTTGTATATTGACTTATTATCCTGCAACTTTGCTATAGTTGCATATGAGTTCCAGGAGTATTTTTGTTGATGCCTTCAGATTTTCTATGTAGATAATCATGTCATGTGTAAACAAAGAGAGTTTTATTTCTTCTTTACAGATTTGTGTACCTTGTATTTCCTTTACTTGTTTTATGGCATTAGTTTGGACCTCTAGTACAGTGTTGAAAACCAGAGGTGAGAGGGGACATCCTTGCCTTGTTTCTGATCATAGCAGGAAGACTTCTAGTTTCTCATGATTAGCTATGATGTTAGCTGTAGTTTTTTGTAGACATTCTTTATCAAGTTGTAGAGGTTCATCTCTATTGCTGAGAGTTTTAAATTATGAATGGGTATTGGATTTTGACAAATATTTTTTCTGCATCTATTGATATGATCATGTGATTTTTCTTCTTTAGCCTGTGATGGAATACATTAATTGATTTTTGAATGTTAAACCAGCGTTTCATACCTGGGATAAATCCCATTTGGTCATGTATAATCTTTTTTACACATGATTGGATTTGACTTCCTAATATTTTGTTGCGGTTTTCACATCGTTTTTGACATCTCTTTTTTTTTTTTTTTTTTTTTTTTTGAGATGGAGTCTCACTCTGTCTCCCAGGCTGGAGTGCAATGGCGAGATCTCGGCTCACTGCAACCTCCGCCTCCCAGGTTCAAGCGATTCTCCTGCCTCAACCTCCTGAATAGCTGAGATTACAGGCACACATCACCATGCCTGACTAATTTTCATATTTTTAGTAGAGACAGGGTTTCACCATGTTGGTCAGGCTGGTCTCGAACTCCTGAGCTCGTGATCCACCCACCTCGGCCTCCCAAAGTGCTGGGATTATAGGCATGAGCCACTGCCCCCAGCTTTTACATCTATTTTTATGAGAGATATTGGTCTGTAGTTTTCTTGTATAATGTCATCCATCATCTGGTTTTAGTATTAGAATAATGCTGACATCATAGAATGCGTTTCTGTTTCTATCTTCTGGAAGAGATTGTAGATTGTAGAGAATGGGTGTAGTTTTTCCTTAAATTTCTTAAATATTTGATAGAATTCACCATTGAACTCATCTAGACCTGGTTCTTTCTGTTTTAGAAAGTTTTTAATTACTGATGCCATTTCTTTGATAGATATAGGCCTAATCAAACTGCCTTTCTTGTGTATTGGTAGATTGTATCTTTCAAAGAATTGGTCCATTTCATTTAAATTATCAAATTTGTGGGTTGTTCATAATTGTGGGTTATAATATTTGAGTTGTTCATAATATTTTTGAATGTCTATGGGCTCTGTAGTGATGTCTTCTCATCCATTTCTGATATTAGTAATTTGTATTCTTTTTCTTTTTCTTAGTTTGCCTAGCTAGAGGTTTATTAACTTTATTGATCTTTTCAAAGAACCAGTTTTTAGGATATTTATTTTCTCTATTAATTTTTCCGTTTCAGTTTTATTGATTTCTACTTTAACTTTTATTATTTCTTCTGCTTACTTTGGATTTAATTTGCTGCTCATTTTTAGTTTCCTAAGGTTAAAGCCTCATTTATTGATTTTTAGGTCTTTCCTCTTTTCTAATACATATATTCAGTGCTACAAATTTTCCTCTAAGCAGTGCTTTTACTGCATTCCACAGATACTGATAAGTCATATTTTCATTTTCATTTAGTTCAAAATACACTTTAATTTCTCTTTATTTCTCCTGTGACCCATATGTTGTTTAGAAGTGTGTTGTTTAGAACTGTATTGTTTAAATATCTAATTATCTGTGGATTTTTCAGCTGTTTTGGATTTCTAGTTTAATTCCATTGTAGTCTGAGAGCAGACATGGTATGATGAGTCCACAATGTGGTCTGTCTTCACAAATATTCAATGTGAGTTTGAGAAGAATATATAATATGCTGTTGTTGGATGAAGTAGTCAATAGATGTCAATTGCATCCAGTTGATAGATGGTACTGTTAAATTCAACTATGTCCTTACTGATTTTTCTGCCTGGTGGATCTGTTCACTTCTGATGAAGAGGCATTAAAGTCTACAACTATAATAGGTTGATCTATTTCTCCTTGTAGTTTTATCATTTTTTGCGTAAAGTATTTTAATGCGTTTTTGCTAGGTGCATGCAAAATAAAAATTGTTATGTCTTCTTGGGGTATTGATGTCTTTATCACTATGTCCTTTTATCCCTGATAGTTTTCCTTGCTCTGAACTCTGCTATGTGTGAAATTAGTATCGCTACTTCATCTCTTTTGACTAGTTTTAACATAGTGTGTTTTTCTCCATCCCTTTACTTTCTACTCTTTGTGTCCTTATATTGAAGATGGGTTTCTTGTAGACAACATACAGTCAGCTCTTGTTTTTTGATCTGCTTTGACAGTCTTTTAATTGGTGTATTTAGACCATTGACATTTAAGGTGTTTATTGATATAATTGGATTAGTATCTGCCATATTGTGTCTGTTTTCTATTTTTTGTCCTTATTCTTTGTACCTATTTTTGTCTTCCACATTTTTTCTGCCTTTTATGATCTTAATTATTTTATGATTCCATCTTCTCTGCTTAGCATACAAGTACACTTCTATCTTGTTTTAGTGGTTGCTCTAGAGTTTGCAATATATCCATTTACAACTAATCTGAGTCCAATTTCAAATAACACTTTCCACCTCACAGATAATATAAGTACCTTATACTAACAACATATTTATCATTTCTCCCTCCCATCCATTGTATCATTGCCATCATTCATCTCACTTATTGATAAGCATACATAAGTTAGCTCAGTTAGGCATAAGAAAATAAGTTTTTGTTTTACCTTCACTTATTCCTTCTCTTGTGCTCTTCCTTTCTGTATATAGATCTGAGTTTCTGACTATATCATTTTCCTTTCCTCTGAAGAACTTCTTTTTAACATTTCTTGCAAGGCCAGTCTACTGACAGCAAATTCCCTCAATTTTTGTTTGTCTCAGAAAGTCTTTATGTCTGCTTCACTTTTGAAGAATAATTTTACATAGTATAGAATTATAGGTTGGTATGTTTTCTCACTCTACTGTTTTCTAGCTTGAATAGTTTTAGAAAAATCAGATGTAATTCTTACCTTCACTCCCCTATAGGTAAGGTGTTTTTTCCCTTCCAACTTCTTCAAATATTAAAACTTTGATTTTTCTGAAGTTTGAATATGATATGCTTAGATGTAGTTTTTGTTTTGTTTTGTTTGGTATTTGTCCCGTTTAGCATTATGAGTTTCCTCGATTCCTGGTTTGGTGTACATTGTTAATCTGTGGAAATTCTTAATCATTATTACTTCACATATTCCAGCTCTTTCTTTTTCTGTTCACCTTCTGGTGTTCCCATTATGTATACATTACACCTTTTATAATTACCCCACAGTTCTAGGATGTTGTTTAGGGTTTTTTCCAGTATTTTTACTCTTTGCTTTTCAGTTTTGGAAGTTTCCATTGTCATATTTCCAAGTTGAGTTTCTTGCTTCAGCCAGTCTACTGATGAACTCTTCAAGGGCATTCTTCATTTCTGTTAACAGCATTTTTGATCTCTAGCATCTCTTTATTTTTTTTCTCAAAATTTCTATGTCTCTTCTTACATTGTTTATTTGTTCTTGCATGTCGTCTGCTTTTTCCACTAAAGCCCCTAGCATATTAATCAATTTTTTTTAAATTTCTGGTCTGATAACTCTAATGTTCCTGGCATTTCTGACTCTGGTTCTGATGCTTACTTAGTCTCTTCAAACTGTGTTTTTTGCCCTCTAGTATATCTTGTAATTTTTTTTTGCTGAAAAGCAGCCATGATTTACTGGGTAAAAGTAACTGTAGCAAATAGGCCTTTAGTAGTGTGGTGGCAAGGTATGTGTGGTGTGTGGCAGGTGGAGTATATTTCCCTGCCTTCACATGGAAGGCAAGAGCCAGCTGAAACTTAGTATTTGCCCCTCCTCCAGATATATTAGGCCCTGATAAAACCCCAGTATGTTAGGCTCTGGTAAAATAGTTTCTACTGAGGGCAGACCTTAAGAAAAAATAAAAATGCTCTCTTTTATTTCAAAATGGTTCCTTTTCTCCTCTCCTGCCATACTCACAAAGGGATTTCTCCAATGTTAACTGTGATGACTTGGTAGATCTCCTGAAGGTAAAACACAAAAGTGTGGCGGCCACTGTATGACTAGGTCTCCCAAACTTTTTAACTTTCAGAGTTAACACTGAGCTCCAATAGTTCATTATTGCAATTCAGGTTTTCCTACCCCATAACTGGTTCCTGCAAAGATTTGCTCTGTTATGATTCTCTGTGTCTGCCTCTCTGCCTCTCTGCCTCTCCAGTTTGGGGAGCATCCCTTTGCCTGCAACCTCACTTCTCTGGTGGATCTAAGCAGACTTGTAGATTTTTTTTTCATTTGTTTTGCTTTTTCCTTGTTGTTAGGATGGACTGGTAGCTTCCTTTTTTTTTTTTTTTTTTTTTGAGACGGAGTCTCACTCTCACCCAAGCTGGAGTGCAGTGGCTCAATCTCAGCTTACTGCAACCTCCGCCTCCGGGGTTCAAGCGATTCTCTTGCCTCAGCCTCCCGAGTAACTGGGACTACACGTGCACACCGCCAGGCCCAGCTAATTTTTGTATATTTTTTAGTAGAGACGGGGTTTCACCATGTTGGCCAGAATAGTCTCGATCTCTAGACCTTGTGATCCACCCGCCTCAGCCTCCCAAAGTGCTGGGATTACAGGCATGAGCCACTGCACATGTCCTGGACTGACAACTTCTAAACACCTAAAATGCTAAACTAGAAACTTCAAAATTGTGATTTTTTTTTTATCATTGTTCCCAAGGTGATCAGCCCAAATGTACTGAGTCATAAGGACTAACATTGCTTAAGACCAGTTTGTTAACTTGTTTTACATTTCACTGATTGGTATTTGTTGAGTGCAAAAGTAATTGCAGTATTCATCCTGCTTTCAGAAGTAATCCCTTCTCTGTTTCATTGGTAAAACATGTAATAGTCAAAAGATTGCTTCTTTTTATTAAATTGGAGCAGTGGTAGCTAGATTAATATTATCGTTTCCAAAATATATTTTATAGTTCATATGTTTGGGTAGTTCTTTTCTGACAATTTAATTTCATCTGCAAATTATATTGGAATCATGTTGAAATAAGGAATAATGCCCTTTTTAAAAAGTTTTCCCGTGGAGAGTTCATCCTATTTATTGATTAGCCAGAGCTAGCAAAATAGCAGTTGGCTATTTCAAGAAAAAACAAAAAAGTCCACAATCAGTAGAGAAAGGCACAAAACCGATGTTTGGATGAGATCCTCTCTATTTGTAATTTGATGTTTTTCTTGTAATATTGAGGACCCAGTTGTGATTAGAGAGTAGGGATTTCTACTGTGTGGATCAGCGTGTGTAAGTGGCTTCTTCCAGTACATAAGAGTAGGCATTAATAACTTGGTGTGGTGTGAGGTCTGTAGTCCAGAGCCAAGGAGTGTTCAGGGTGTCAGGAACACAACGAATTTAAGATCTGAGCCTGGTGGAATGACCACAAAGCCAAAAATGAGGTGATACCAATGGGGCATTCATGATGAGAACAGAAAGTACAATCAGTAGGAGTTAGGAAGTAAAAAAGATATCAGTAATTTCAAAATTAGTTAGCCTTCAATATAAAAGAGTATTGTTTGTTATTCCCTGGACAGAAATACAGGATACTCAGATCAATTGCCAACAGCAGTGAGTTGTTTTCCCTTTTAACACTGAGGTTTGTTTTGTTTTTGTTTTTGTTTTTAGACAGAGTCTCGCTCTGTCACCCAGGCTGGAGTGCAGTGGCGCAATCTTGGTTCACTGCAACCTCTGCCCCCAAGTTCAAGCAATTCTCCTGCCTCAGCCTCCGAAGTAGCTGGGACTACAGGCGCCCGCCACCAGGCCTGGCTAATTTTTGTGTTTTTGGTAGAGACGGGGTTTCACCATATTGGCCAGGTTGGTCTCGAACTCCTGACCTTGTGATCCACCTGTGTTGGCCTCCCAAAGTGCTGGGATTACAGGCATGAGCCACCATGCCCAGCTAACATTGAGATTTGTAATGAAGCAGAAAAATAGATAATTGTTAAGTTTCTAGCTATGCTGTGCTGTTAGATATTGGTTAATGTTTCATTATCAGCCATAGCATATATAATGATTTTAACCTGCATAATTCTTCATGTTCTTTTCATATGTTAGTACAATCTAATAAAGTGAGATTATCATCTTGCAGATCAATATGAATCCTCTCTAGTCATTATTTTATTGTCATCATCCACATCCAACATCTGAAATTTCAGAAACTGATGCAAACTACAAAGAATATTCACATTCTTTTAAAGTACTGTTTTAGAATGTTCTAAATAATAAACCTCAGCCTATACACTGTCCTAGAATTCTAGGGTTTTTTAAAGTTTTTTAAAAATATGTATATCAAGACCCCCCCACCCCCGAGTGGATGCCATGGGTGGTACCAAACCCCTATATATTCTGTTTTTTTCTATACATACATACCTATGATAAAGTTTAATTTATAAATTAGACACGGTAAGAGATTAATAACAACAGCTCATAAAATAGAATTTTAACAATATACTATAGTAAAAGTTATATGAATGTGGACTCTCAAAATATGTTATTTTACTGCACTCTCGTTTCTTACGATGTGAGATGATAAGTGCCTACCTGATAAGATGAAGAAATATGAATGACCTAGACATTTTGATTTAGTCTTAGACTGCTATTGACCTTCTGTATTCCTGAATCCATGAATAATTCTTACTTGCAGTAAAGGGCTTGATGTCACTTTTTTCAGGGGATCCCTTGCTGAAGTCTTCATAGATGCTCAGTGCTTGCTGGTCATCACACTGTTATCAACTAGAACACATTTCTGTTCTTGTCTTCCACCATAAATTTAATGCCTTTTCTAGCTTAACTAAGCACTTATCACACACTGTTGCAGGTTGAAGTGCTACAGCAAAAATAGCATAAATATCTCTTTCCTTCTTCACAATTTCACAGATAAAAGATACATTCCAACCATAGATCTTAGCAACCTCAACATATGATGGTTTTTTCTTATTAAGTTGAGAACTTTTACCTTTTCACTTAAAAGAAGCACTTGACAGCTTCACTGTGGCATGTCTAAATTCCCAGCATTACTACTCTTGTGCTTTGGGGACATTATTAATTAAATAAGGGTTACTTGGACACAAGTACTGCAATACAGCAGCAATCAGATAATCAGGGTGACTATCAAGTGAACAAGTAGTGTATGCTGGACAAGAGGATGATTTACATCCCAGGCAGGACTGAGCAGGATGACTCAAAATTTCACTGTGCTACTCAGAATGGTGTGCATTTCAAAACCTGTGAATTGTTTATTTCTGGAATTTCCCATTTAATATTTTCAGACCATTTTTGACTGAGAGTAACTGAAACCATGGAAAATAAAATTGCAGGTAAGTGGGGACTACTATAAATCGTTTTAGAGCTATAATGGTATTTTACTGTTCAATAGGCCATAATGAATGAATCAACAGAGTTTGAAGAAAGAAGTGCTACCATATCTAAAGAGTGGGAACAGGACTTGAAATCACTGAAAGAGAAAAATGAAAAACTATTTAAAAACTACCAAACATTAAAGACCTCCTTGGCATCTGGTGCTCAGATTAATCCTACCACACAAGACAATAAGAATCCTCATGTTACATCAAGAGCTACACAGTTAACCACAGAGGTATATAATTTCTTATAAAATTTTCTTCAATTTGCAGCTTCGCCACAGAGTTTAGAGCAAAATTATAGTATTATTACCGAACATGAATACATTTATTTTTGTAAGTAATGGGCTTGATTTTTACTAGTAGTTCTACTCTGGCTATCATTTAACTAAACTAATTATAAAGCTAGACATTATGTAAGGTATTATAAAACATAAATTGTAACTTCATTTGATTATTAAATTCATAAAATATAGTTTAAGTTACTACCGCTTAAGGTACAATTACCATAAAAGTTTTCCAAATCATGTGACTTTCTATTGAACTGTGATCTATGTCCGTATGCAGAACAAATATTAGCTTGGAGAGAAATAGCAATTTAACTTTTCTCTTATTGCCAGCATATTTAATATTGCTTCATGTTGTAATCACAGTAAAAATATGAGGTTAAAAATATAACAAGATTGTTATGCAGATTAACTTGTATCTAAGAACCAGTACATTATTTGAATAATCAAATTACCTTATTAACTACCCTTACTCAGGAGTCTAACAACATGTGCAAAATGTTATATTTTGTTAGCACACAAAACGACTTTGTAGGTATCCCAATGGTAAATTAAAATTTATCGTTTTTCACCAAAAACTTATGATAAAACATCAACTACCAGCTTAATGAAAACTAGATCACTAGTGTACAGTGTTTTGATTTGTAGGGCATTACAGACCTCAGTCAGCTGGTACAGATAAAATAGAGGAAAGATGAAATCCATCTACCAAAATAATAATTTAAAGAAACAAAAGGAAAGTCGGTCAATCTTCAATGACCCAAGAAAATAGTCTAGCAGATAATAAAATATATGCTACTATCATTAGACAAGTTTGATGCAAGAATGGACAAGTAGAGCAGTGGAACAGAATAGAGAGTTCAGAAATATACCCAATTAAGTATCAGAATGTAGTACAAGTGTATGATAACAGAAACATTCAATTCAGTGGAAAAAAGGATGTTTTACTTGGCCAGGTGTGTGAGTCTGTAATCCCAGTACTTTGGGAGGCCAAGGTTGGAGGATTACTTGAGCCTAGGAGTTTAAGATGAGCTTGGACAACATAGTAAGACCCTGTCTCTACAAAAAAAAAAGTGTTTTTTAAATATGTTATCCAGGTCCAGTGGCGTCCACCTGTAGTCTCAGCTACTTGGGAGGCTTAGCTGGGAGGATTACTTGAGCCTGGGAGATCGAAACTGCAGTGAGCTATGATCATGCCACTGCACACCAGCCTAGGCAACAGAGTGAGACATTGTCTCAAAAAAAAAAAAAAGAAAGAAAGAAAAGATGGTTTGCTTAATGCATGATTTTGATATAACAGGATAGCCAACTGGAAAAAAATAAGACTGGATTCCTGTCTCACTCATTAAACAAAAATGAATTCTAAATGGGCCCCCAAAAATCCAGACATTTTGCCAAAAAAAGAGTGTGGTGTGTATGTGTGAATAATGTGATACCTCTATGAAATGAGATTCTATATGTCCATGAAGACAAAAAATAGGAGAAATCTATGTGTTGATAATGGAAAGATCAGGAAAAAATATGTTCTCAAGTTTTAAAATAAAGCAGAACTATATTTTGTATATTGTGTGTATACTATTTTTAGAAACTATAGTCATGTATATTTGGTTATAGATAGAAAATTTCTGGAAGAAAAGTTTAGTAGTGATTGCTTCAGGGTCAACTTGGGGTCTGAGAAGGGGAGACTTACTCTTCATTATATGTCTTTGAATTTTTTTCCACATATTTGTGTTTTTCTATTTAAGATTAATAAGGGTGGGCATGATGGTTCTTGCCTGTAATCCTAGCACTTTGGGAGGCCAAGGCGGGCAGATCACCTGAGGTCAGGAATTCAATACTGGCCTGGCCAACGTGGTGAAACCCCATCTCTACTAAAAGTACAAAAATTAGCCAGGTGTGGTGACACACACGTGTAGTCCCAGTTACTCGGAAGGCTGAGGCAGGACAATCACTGGAATCCAGGAGGTGGAGTGCAGAGAGCCGAGATTGTGCCACTGCATTCCAGCCTGGGCAATGGAGCAAAACTCCATCTCCAAAAAAAATAAATAAATAAAAATTAATAAAAGTAAAGGGAAAGATAAGTGATATATATTACTTTAGAGAGTCAATTAACAAATGTCGTTTGTTTAAGTAGTGTTCATTTAAAATATGAGTGCCTGTTTAATATGCTTAGCACTATGCTGACTAATCACATAACCACTGTGCTGTATTTAACTGCATGTTTTAAGAATTTACAGACAGATTATAATATAAACCTTTGACATTTTCAATCCAAAAATCATCATCTAAATGAGGGAAATAACATGTCTATAGAATGAATGATGTTTGGCCTCTCTTTGTTAATATAATCTGCGAAAAGTTAACAATACCTAAATATGATCATCTCTGTCTCAAATTTGTATACTGTGATTCTGTCTTGATGATAGAGCTTATGAATGTGTGCTTTTTCTAATAGAAAATTCGAGAACTGGAAAATTCACTACGTGAAGCTAAAGAAAGTGCTATGCATAAGGAAAGCAAGATTATAAAGATGCAGAAAGAACTTGAGGTGACTAATGACATAATAGCAAAACTTCAGGCCAAAGTTAATGAATCAAATAAATGCCTTGAAACAACAAAAGAGACAATTCAAGTACTTCAGGTAACTTAAACATAAAAATAAAAGTTGTTTGTTTGTTTAGCATATTGAATTCAGCAAATCTCTTGGTGCTCTGTTCTTCCATCTCACGACAACTTCCTATTACCTATGTGTGTCTGAAGTTCAATACTCATGCAGAAGCAACTTATAAGTGAAATGTAGGAGCGTATTGTCATGTAAAATGTTATTTTTATTATGTTGGAGAAATAATTTTTAAAAGACATACATGTTTACAGTTTAAAATGTATATTTTTTCATTTTTCAAAAAAATTGCGTATCAAAATATATAATACTGTTAGATAAGTATATTTTTTAATTCTTTTCTTTCTACTTACTGCCCCTGTTACTGAGTCCCACCTGATGTCCCATGGGCTGAATCTGACCTGTTTTGAGGGGAAAAAACATAATTTAAACATTTTTCAACTTGAATGTCATTAGACAAACCACACACTCATTAATCACTACTCCCTTTTGGTTTAGTTCTAGCCACTTCTCACATTTCTTCTACTCAAGTCTGATCCGAATTGGCATATTTAAATTTGCTGTTCTGCTCCAGTGTCTTTTCACTCCAGTTAAAATTAGGAACACATCAAGAATGCCTGCTTTATTCATATTTAACATTGTTCTAAAAATTCTGGTCTATTCAGTGAGACATGAGTAGAGAGGCAAAAGAAAAAATTAATTTTTTGACAATTATTGTTATAGCTGGAAACTAAAAAATTCAAGTATAAAGTTTTAGAATGTTGTAATTTTTTAATATTACAAATATTGATCACAATTTTTATTCATTCCACAAATATTTGCTGAGCACCAGCTATGTGTCACTCACTGTTCTAGAGGCCAATGAAAAAACAAAGCCCATGCCAGCAAAGAACTTACATTCTAGTTGAAGGAGACAGAATATTAACTTAAAATGTAAAATATAGAAGGTGTATTTTTATTTATGTTATATATATTAAGAAGTATATTATATCTCAAGTGGTGAAAAGTGAAATGGAAAAAAATTAAGCCAGACAAGGGGGTACATGGTTCTGGGTGAAGGTGAACATGTGTGGGAAGAGAGATGATTGTATATAGGGGAGTTGAGGAATGTCACACCAGTAAGATGATCTGAAGGAAGTGATAGGGCAAACTGTCTGGCCAGGGAGAAATGTTCCAGGCAAAGGAAATAGCAAACTGAAAACAACAAGCAAGGTAGTGCATCCAGAGCAGAATGAGCAAGAGGATAGAGGTAGAAAATAAGGTGAGAAGTAGCGGAGGACCAGATCATAAAGGCCCTGTAAGCTATTTTCAGAACTCTCATTTCTATTCTGGGAGAGATGGAAACAAAGGCTTCTCAATGGGAAAAGGATAGTCTGATCAACTAATGATGCTAGATAACTAAACATCCATCCATAAGCAAAAAAGACAAAGAACTTATAGTTTTCACAAAAATTAACTAAAATAGATCATAGACATAAATGTAAAATGCAAAACTAGAAAACTCAAAGAAGATGACATAGCAGTTCTAAGTGACCTTGGATTTGGCGATTTTTTTAGATATAATACAAGAAGTACGATCCATAAAGAAAAAAACTGGTAAGTTGGATTTTATTGAGACAAACTTCTGCTTTGCAAAAGACACTGTCCGGAGAATAAAGAGAAGCCACAGACTGGCAGAAACTATATACAAAACATGAATCTGGTGAAGGAATGTTATACAAAATAGACAAAGAACTCTTAAAACCAACGATAAGAAACAACCAGTCAATCTTAAAATTGACAAAAGACCCAGATGACAAATAACCATATGAAAAGATGCTTCATATCATATGTCATTAGAGAATCACAAATTAAAATAATAGACAATTACAAACCTACCAGAATAGCCAAAATCCAAAACATTGAGAACACCAAATGCTGGTGTATGGAGCAAAAGGAATTCTTACTAATTGCTAGTGGACATGCAAAATGCTACAGCCACTGTGGAAGATGGTTTGGCAGTTTCTTACAAAACTAAGCATACTTGTATGATTGAGCAGTTGTATTCCTTGGTATTTACTCAGATGAGTTGAGAATGTATGTACACACAAAAGGCTGCATGTGTATGTTAATAGCAGCTGTGTTCATAATTGCTAAGACTTAGACACACCCAAGCTGTCTTTCAGTGGGTAAATGGATAAACTGGTACATTCATACAATGGAATAGTTTTCAGCAATTAAATGAGAGGGCCAGGTGCAATGACTCACGCCTGTAATCCCAGCACTTTGGGAGGCCAAGGCAGGCAGATCACCTGAGATCAGAATTTCAAGACCAGTCTCCCCGACATGGCAAACCCTGTCTCTACTAAAAATACAAAAAATTAGCCAGGCATGGTGGTGAGTGCCTGTAATCTCACCTACTCAAGGGGCTGAGGCAGGAGAATCGCTTGAACCCAGGAGGTGAAGGTTGCAGTGAGCCGAGATCGCACCACCGCACCTCAGCCTAGGTGACAAGAGCGAAACTTTGTCTTAAAAAAAAAATAAGAAAGGAATGAGAGGACCTTTAGTACACATTGCTTAGTGGAAGAAGCCAATCTGAAAAGGCTACATACTGTATGATTTCAAGTATATGACATTTTTAAAAAGGCAAAACTAAGAGACAGTAAAAAAAAAAAATAAACAGTTGCCAGGGATAATGCAGAAGAGAGGGATGAATAGGCAGAGCACAGGGTTTTTTAGGACAGTGAAACTATTCTGTATGATACTGTAATGATGGACATGTGCCATTTTACATTTGTCGAAACCCACCGAACGAGAACTATTCTCGGCGCGTGCTGTGACCGGTGGACACATGTGCTTGCATTTTGTGTAATGATGGACATGTGCCATTTTACATTTGTCGAAACCCACCGAATGTACAATACAAATAAACTGTCATGGAAATTATAGATCTTAATAATGTATCAATATTCATCACTTATAACAAATGTGCCATACTAATACATGATGTTAATATGGGGAAAAAGGAATAGGGGACACTGGATATGTAGGACCTCCCAGTATTTTCCATTCCATTTTTCTGGAAACAAACTGCTGCTGTAAAATACAGTGTTTTGTATCACTGGATGGAACTATGTTTCAGTACAAAATATACCTAGTAATGCTCTGTTTTGTGGCCTGAATTTAGTTCTAGTTTGATGTTTACATCACTGCTCCAACATCTTTTTGTTTCGTTTTCTGATTTACCTTTTTCCACCCTTTTCATTATTTCCAACTTTTTTCATTTTGTAGGTATTTTCAATTGGAAAAAAATATATTTATTTTAATAAATAAAAATCATGTTTTTTTGTTTTTTTTTTTTTTTGAGACGGAGTCTCGCTCTGTCGCCCAGGCTGGAGAGCAGTGACCGGATCTCAGCTCACTGCAAGCTCGGCCTCCCGGGTTTACGCCATTCTCCTGCCTCAGCCTCCCGAGTAGCTGGGACTACAGGCGCCTGCCACCACGCCCGGCTAATTTTTTTGTATTTTTAGTAGAGACGGGTTTTCACTGTGTTAGCCAGGATGGTCTCGATCTCCTGACCTCGTGATCCGTCCGTCTCGGCCTCCCAAAGTGCTGGGATTACAGGCTTGAGCCACCGCGCCTGGCCAAAAATCATGTTTCTAATTGGGAAAATCGTATTTCTAATTGCATATTAGCTTCGAATAGACTTCATATCAATATATAGTTATTCAGTTAAAATTGATGCTTTTTCATGTATTTGGAATTGTTTGCTGTTTTAAAATGTCCTTAATTAGAGCAAAGACAGCTAACCATTCTTTAAAACTGGAGAAATTTAAGCTCCTCTAATAATTATTTTTATTTTCTCTAAAAAAAAATTAGGACAAAGTTGCTTTAGGAGCTAAGCCATATAAAGAAGAAATTGAAGATCTCAAAACGAAGCTTGTGAAAATAGACCTAGAGAAAATGAAAAATGCCAAAGAATTTGAAAAGGAGTACGTATTTGTCTTAATTTAATGTGATTTTAATAGCTTTTCTTCCTAAACTACATATACTTTTCATTAGTTAAATTTTTAAAATAAAATTTATGAAAACATTGTTACTGCTCTTCTTTAAAAAATATAAACATCCATAGATTTTAAATATACTGGTCTCATTACATATGCAAAGTTTTTAAAACTAAGCACAATTCTGATCAATTAACACACTATGTCTTTGAACACTTCTTAGTCATACATAATATAAACAATTTTAAGTGGCTTTTTTATGCCTGAAAGTGAACATTAAGAGTGTGTGTGTGTGTGTGTGTGTGTGTGTGTGTGTAGCAGTTTTACTAAGGTTTCTGTTGTTTCTCTTAATTTCATTTGTTGGTCTTACTGTGTTTTTGTGTTAAGATTCTATTTCCTTTTAATTTATAGTTCCCTAGGGCCCAAGAGCAAATCGTCTTTTTACTGATTTATTTATAGGTAGCATTATATATAACAGCGTGCCTAAATTCTTTGTGGTTATAGCATAATGAAAAGAACATTAAACAGAGAGTCAAGGAAACTGCATTAGAAATACGTTCTCAATCCCAGCACTTTAGGAGGCTGAAGGTCAGGAGATCCAGACCATCCTGGCTAACACAGTGAAACCCCGGCTCTACTAAAAATACAAAAAACATTAGCCGGGCTTGGTGGCAGGCACCTGTAGTCCCACCTACTTGGGAGACTGAGGCAGGAGAATGGCGTGAGCCCGGGAGGCGGAGCTTGCAGTGAGCCCGTATCACACCACTGCACTCCAGCCTGGGCAACAGAGTGAGACTCCATCTTAAAAAAAAAAATGGAATACGTTCTCACTTACTAATGCATCACCTTATACTGTTTCTTCTCTCTGGTCCTCGCATTCATAATCAGTAAAGAAAGGTTTATATTAGGGGATTTAAGATGCTTCCTGGCTTTTAACACTTTTCATTCTTCCTAAGGATCTTGAATAAATATTTAATGATCTCTTATTTTGCCCAGGAAGTAGCTCTCGGAATTTTCGTGCTCTCTAAGCAGCCTATTGGTTTTAGTGAAACAAATCTATTAGATTCTCAATTATAAAAACAATTTTACTTGTAGAGTAGGGCCGGGTGCAGTGGCTCACGCCTGTAGTCCCAATACTTTGGGAGGCCAAGGCAAGCAGATCACCTAGGGTCAGGAGTTTGAGACCAGCCTGGCCAACATGGCGAAACCCTGTGTCTACTAAAAATACAAAAATTAGCCGGGCATGGTGGCAGGTGCCTGTAATCTCAGCTACTCGGCAGGCTGAGGCAGGAGAATCGCTTGAACTCGGGAGGCAGAGGTTGCAGTGAGCTGAGATCACGCCATTGCACTCCAGCCTGGGTAACAAGAGCGAGACTTCATCTCAAAAAAAAAAAGAATAGGGTCAGCAGATACAGATACATTCATAGTCATTAAAAAAGGCTGAAAGTCATAATTTATCATTGCTGATTAATGCCTAAAGTAGCAACTCTCATAAAATATCTCTTTCTACCGGAGAACAGTGATCAGAATTTGACCTTTGTAGCATCTTAGACCAGAGCTGCAGTCAGGGTTTGCTTTCCTGACCATATAGCAATAAAGCTGCACTTTCTCTTTCATGCTCCTTATACCGTCAAGATATTTCTAGGACCCCATGGTAAAAAATAATTAGGTAGTTATAATTTTGTTCAATATCCAATGAATTAGGCCTCCAGAAGCTTCAAAAGAACTGGGGTTTCTCAGTATAAGAAAACCAGACTGTCCCTGCACCGAAGCAGAATGCTTCTAATTTGATGGCATTAATGCCATAAGGCACATGGCACCAGAGAGGTGTCGTGAGGGCGTATCTACTGCCACTTACGGGCGTTATGTCATTGTGATGTATTAGAAAATCCTTCACAGCAGCTCTGTTTATTCTCCTGTAAAAAATTAGTTGCTGAACTTTTTACATCTTTTTATTGTTTTTGTTAGAATCAGTGCTACAAAAGCCACTGTAGAATATCAAAAGGAAGTTATAAGGCTATTGAGAGAAAATCTCAGAAGAAGTCAACAGGCCCAAGATACCTCAAGTAAGTAGAAAATGCAGGTATTTTCAGATCCTTTAAATTTTACTTCTCAACACACAACAGACTTTGATGACTAATATTATGTAGTATGTGACAGTCGAGAGTAAATAGAAGTTGACCACCAATGTATTTTTAAATGAATTTATTGGAACCGTATTTCCAGATATCTTGTGACATCTTAGTTTGTTGTAATCTTAGATGCTTATCCATTATAGATTCTTGAAAAATATGAACTCTGCTTTTGTATTGTCAAATCTTTACCTATTAGTGAAGATACCTTCAGGCAATAAAGGAATGACTTATACTATATCAACATAGAATTATGCTTCCCAATAAAATGAAACACATCTTCATAGATTTTAATTGTATACATCTCATAAGTTGTAATTGGTGTGCAGTAAAAATAAATACTATTCTGTTTGTTCTTGAAACTAAAAATACCAAGTTAATATTTACTTGCAGAGGTCTTTGAAATTTATCTGAGATACACTTTTTAGATCTGTTGATCAAATTTCTCAATATATATGCATTCTTCAAACTACCTTTTTTCATATTCTGTCTGTCCCATTTGAAAAGAAAGAATGCTTGAACAGTACTTGGGATAGCTGTGCAGTAGAACAAGTACTGAGCTAAGTCAGGTGCAGATCTCAATGGCTATGTGAAATCGTGGGGTTAGCACCTGATCTTCTAACTTATAGGCATATATATATACGCTTATATATATACTTATAAGTATGTTAGCACCTGATTTTCTAACTTACACACATATATATAATATTGTATATTTTTATATATTTTTATATATTTTCTATTATATAATTTCTATTATATATTTCATATTATATATTTTCTAACATATATATATAAGCTTATATATAAGAAGTATATATACTTATATATATGCATATATACTTATATATTTACAAGTATATGTGAGTATGTATACTATATACTTTTATGTATATGTGAGTATATATACTTATATGTATATGTGAGTATATATACTTATATACTTAAATGTATATGTGAGTATACTTATATACTCATATATACTTTTTTTTATTTGATTGTCTTTTTATTATTGAGTAGTAAGAATTCTTTACATATTTTGGATGCAGGTCACATACAAGATATATGATGTGACAATATTTTATCGCATTTCTGTGGTTGTCTTTTCACTTTCTTTTTTTGTTATTTTTATACTTTATGTTCTAGGGTACATGGGCACAACGTGCAGGTTATGTATACGTGTGCCATGTTGGTGTGCTGCACCCATTAACTCGTCATTTACATTAGGTATATCTCCTAATGCCTCCTTATATATACTTTTTTACAGGAGAATAAACAGAAACAGAACTGCTATGAAGGATTTTCTAATATATACTTATATATATCTGCACACTTATATATACTTATAAGTATATATACACACATATATACATATATACATATATACTTATATATACACCTGTATATACTTATAAGCATATATATACACATATATACCTATAAGTACATATACACTTATATATGCACTTTTATATACACTTATAAGTATATATATGTATACATATACTTATAAGTGTATATATGTATACATATACTTATAAGTGTATATATGTATATGTATATATACTTATACATAAGTATAAGTATACTTATATATAGTATATATGTATAACTGTATATGTAAGTATATGTATGTATAAGTATATATAAGTATATACTTATATATATAAGTGTATACATATTTGAGCATGCACATGTATATGTAAGTGTATATAAGTATATATAAGCTTATATATACACTTATATACAAGCGTATATAATACAGGCAGATATCTTGTTTTGCTTAGTATATGGAATTTTCAATGTGCAAGGTATATTGTATATAATATTTACATATTTACAGAATATATAGAATTTCATATATTACATGTTATAGGATACATATAAGTGTATATACATATATATACGCACATGCACACATATATAGTTAAACGTACACGTATATGTGGACATGGTATATGCACATATTTTTGGCAGGTGGTAACACTTCAGTCATTATGGGGAAAGTAATTTTTAGAGCTCATGTAATAAGTGTCTTTTTTAAAAAAGCATATATACATATACACTTATTTATATACATGCACGCATGCACACACATACATAAAGATCAGACCAAAAGTTGTGGGTAAAAGCACATTGAAAATTTCAAATACTAAGCAAAACAAGATATCTGCTTGTTTTACTTATATTATTGTATCATTTCCAAAAAAAAAAAAGATTGGTGCTAAAGGTGTTAAGGTGTTGTCTAGTACCTATTGTAGCTTAAACTTCCCTAGTGTCTGTTACAGGATAACCACAGCACCTACCAAGAAACTTAAAGAGGTAAAAACAGAAGTGAGGATTCTTTGTTTCAGAAGGTTGAGGATAATTATTCCTGATTTGTAGATGACTTTCAGGTACATAGTGTAGATTAATTCAAAATAAAATAGACATCAAGAATTGCCCTACACACACACACTATCCCTCTTTTGTGAATTCCCAGTGACCTAATGGATTAATCCACTTCATAACTATCTCACATTTTTATGCAACTTTGCCTACAATTTACAAAACAATCTCTTTACACACATAGTGTAGAATATTTAATATGTGCTTCAATATTATCCTAACATATATTTAATTAATAATATGTATTGAATATATATAATGCACTGAATGACGGGGTGGCCCTCTCACCCTACCTCACCTCCCCACCACACATGCACTGTGTTGTAACAAGCCCTCCAGGGGAAAATATAGATCAACAAAGGACAGCTGTAAGTGGAGAGGATTGCTATTGCTGCAGTATGGGTGAAAGATCTTGGTGATCGGGATATGTTAGTGAAATTGGTGGAGGGGGATTCTAGAGGCATAGAATTGATGGTTGGTCAGATAAACGGAGTACGGTAGAAGGCTGAAGTCAAGGGTGACTTCCAGGGAAACAAGACTTGAGGTGTTTTGGTCTCTATAATGGCCTATTGTACTTAATAGTATTTCCTTTATTTTGAACTTTGGAGACAAAATTATCACCTATTTGTGTATTTTCCTCCCACAGTGATATCAGAACATACTGATTCTCAGCCTTCAAATAAACCCTTAACTTGTGGAGGTGGCAGCGGCATTGTACAAAACACAAAAGCTCTTATTTTGAAAAGTGAACATATAAGGCTAGAAAAGGAAATGTCTAAGTTAAAGCAGCAAAATGAACAGCTAATAAAGCAAAAGAATGACTTGTTAAGGTAAGATCTGCTTACATGATACAGATATTATGCTTATGGCTATTACATGTATGTAGGGACATGGTATATGCACATATTTTTTGCACGTGGTAACAGTCATTATGGGGAAAGTAATTTTTAGAGCTCATGTAATAAGTGTCTTTTTTAAAAAATGAGAATATGGGTACACTATTCCAGTGTTTGCTGTCTATCAACTGACAATTCATAACCAAGCCAAGAAACAAGGAAGAAACAAAGACCTTTGAGGGGGCAGCTGAAATATACCACAAGTCCATATTCCCAAGCCAGTGAGGCTTTACTTAGGAACTCCTTATGTCCATTATTGTAGGCTTTTTACTTTATAAACAGATCTAACAAATTATTTGGCTTCTAGCACAGTGGAAGATTAGAATCTTTTCCCCAAGCACTCTACTATGATACAGTAGGAAAAAAAAGGGTTAAATAATTTATGAATGACTCTTTGCCATGAAAGCTATTAAAAAAGAAACAAAAACAAAAAGGAGATTATAAAAGGGTTATATTATGAAAGAGAAATCCAACATTATCTAGGTGTTAGAGGTAGAGTGTTGGTTGATCAAGAAGCCAACAAACGGGCATACCTCGTTTTATTGCACTAATCTTTCTACTATATACACTGGGAATCCAAAAGATTTCTGCAGTTTGCTTCATTACAGTGATCAGGAACCAAACCTGCAATATCTCCAAGGTATGCCTATATCAGAATATATATGAAAAATGAATAGGAATTAGGCTAGATAAGAGAAGAAGGGTAAGTTTTCCAGGCCAGGGGACAACATGTTCATGGTCTTTGAGTGAAGAAGAATAACTAATTGGTGGGACTGAAAGACATCCAGTGTGGCCAGGGTGTAGAGAATGAGACAGAATAAAGTGCAAGACAAGGTGCCAGAGGTAAATGGATTCAGATTACATGGGCCCTTATAGCTCATTTTGAAGAATATGGAGTGGTATCCTAAATGTAATGGCAGGATTACTTGCACTGGAGGATTTTAAGGTAGTGGCCTGATGAGATCTTATAGCATCTTTGGCTGCTAGAGCATTATAGAGGGACCCAATCTTAGAATGTGTTTATGGTAATTCAGGCAAAACATAATTTTAACATGGACTAGCTTGGCTCCAATAGGGATAAAAACAAGGAAGTGAATTTGATAGATAGGATGAGATTGTATCAAGGGACTTGGATGACTGTTAAAATGAAAGAGAATGAGGTCTCTAGGATTGTTTCCCAGGTTTCTCTCTGGAGGAACTGGATAAATGCTGGTGGCATCTTCTGTAAGAAGCAGCACTGTAACTAGAAAAGCACAGTGTAATCTTTCTTTTACAGTAAGAAAGGTACATCAAAGATTCATCTATCCAGGAGACTAATTTATCAAATTATTGTGGCAAAGCATCAATAGATAAGCCACTCTGGATTATATCATTGATTTATTTGAAAACCTAATGTTGTACTTAGAGCTTTCTTTTCAAGACTCCATGATCATGGAAACTTACTACATTATTTGATTGATATAGATCCATTTTGTTTTCTGAACTTTGGAAATAGTCAAAACAGGAAGCATGAGGTTGAAATTAAAATGTAAATGTGATAAAATGGTATATTTATGTTATATATATTTCATCACAATTTAATTTTTAAATATAAATGTGAATACATCTTAACAATCAAGAAGTCTTACAATGTCTCCTTTTTTCCCCCACATTTAAGCAATAATCAGCATCTTTCCAATGAGGTCAAAACTTGGAAGGAAAGAACACTTAAAAGAGAGGCTTACAAACAGGTAACTTGTGAGAATTCTCCGAAGTCTCCTAAAGTGACTGGAACAGCTTCTAAAAGGAAACAAATTACACCCTCTCAATGCAAGGAACGGAATTTACATGATCCTACGCCAAAGGAATCACCAAAATCTTGGTTTTTTGATAGCCGATCAAAGTCTTTACCATCACCTCATCCAGTTCGCTATTTTGATAACTCAAATTTAGGTCTTTGTCCAGGTAAGTAAATATACTGGTTACTTTAAAATCAGAAGGTAACAGTTGGAACTTATTAGTCAATTAGCGATTTAGTCAAGTAAGCTACAATGTCAGGCTTCATTTGCTGACTCTGTAAGAAAGTTGGTTTCTCCAAGGCATAGCAATGAAGTGCAATTCACTTTTACCCCAAGTGAAGTCCTCAGTCTACCCTTTAAGCCCTTAGTTTTGTCCAAAGAGAGACAAGCAACTTTCTCAAGGACATGAAGATACTACCCTAAAAAGCAACTTTTACTGAAAAGTCTTATCAATTCAATGGACCAGAATATCCAATAGCATTATATTTACTTTACCCAACCCAGATAATAGACGAATCATTTACTTATTCATTTATTCAATCAGCAAAATTGTTTTGAGCCCCTTCTATGTGTTAAGGATTAGATCCTGATGGCACATTGATAAGCAAAACCAGACGTGGTCCCTGCCTTCATAGAGCTTAATTCTGATGGAAGATTACAGACAGTAATCAAGTGGTTTAAAAAAAAAAAAAAGTGAAATTCAAGCAGTGCAACTACAAAAAACTATGAGGAATATAATAAGTATTTGAGGAATATTGAGGAAGGAAACTGAGATCAGATCTAAAAGGTTAACATGAGTTATCTTAACAAAGAGCAGAGGGAAAAGCATCTCAGGCAGATGGAACAGCAATAGCATTAGGGTAGGTGGGAACATGATCAGGGGAAGAGTTGAAAGAAATATGGTGTGGTCAGAGCACAGTGAGTACAAGCTTGTGTGGGTGAAGTCAGTGAGGCCAAAGGGAGAATTAAGAGCCAGAAATGCTGGACTTTTATAAATTATATAAAGGAATTTTTTCATTTATTGTGTAGAGGAAGACTTTGAAAGATCTTAAGCAATGGCAGGAGAACGTGAGTCACACATTTTGAAAACATCACCTCATCTCTAAGGTGGTCAGCAAATAATAGGAGCAGGAGTTTGACAGTTGTCTAAACAAGACATGATGGTAGTGTGGACTTGGAGTAGAGATGGAGAGAAGTAGACTGACAGGAGAGATTTTGGAGTAAAATCAGCAACACCAGGCACCTGATTGAACAAAGGAGTGGGGAGGTATCAAGGATCACCCCCAGCTCTGCATGGAGGTTGTCCACAGAAGTGGGGGGGACTTGCAGGAGAAATGTAACATGGCGTTTCTTGTAGTCTTTCTCACCACGTAGCATCTATTGTGCACAGCCCTTTGTGACAGTGTATCTGCCTACCCTACCAGAGGTACCCTGTTATGCCACTCTAGAAATCTAAAGCAACACAATTGTACACTAAGAAAGGCAGTTGCCAAATCATTTAAAACCTTTAGCAATATTTGCCAGAGTTTATAAACCTCTACTTTGTGATTAAGAAAAAATCATCTATTCTCATCAACTATATCAAAATTAGATCAAGTTGACAGTCTAAAAGTGTTCTTAGGGAGATAGGTAGGCACAGAAACATTTGGAATAAGAAAAGTTTGAAATATTCTCTTCATGAAATAGTATTTAACAAACATTTAAGGACCTTTTATTAGCTAGCTAACACTTGCATGGAACTGTCTCGCTATGTTGCCCAAGCTGGCCTTGAACTCCTACGTTCAAGCAATCCTAAGCATCAAGGACTACAGGTGCATGCTACCGCACCCAGCTGTAATCACCTTTTGGTTTTGTCTGCTGGTGCCAGAGGTGTATGCATAATGTGAATTCATCAAACTGCAAATAAAAATGTTTGAGTCCTTTTTTAATATATGGATCTCTCTGGTACTGTTTTTAGATAAATAAAAGAGTAGCCTAGAAGAATATATAAATCAAAAACTGACCAATTCAGAATTAAATGAGATTGTCCCAGCTTGAATTAATACCAGTCTTTTAAAAAGTAAATGTGAGTTTTTACTTTTAATTATAAAAGGTAATCTAAATTACCTTAACAAACTAAGGTAATTGCTAAGACCAGTTATACTAGCTTTACTTTTATAAATATAATAATTGTAAAATAAATATTGTTTATAAGCAAATAGATGCAGCTAAAGTCCTTTTTAAAGGCTCACAGAAAGCTTTCCAAAGATGACTAAATATTCTCTAAAATACTATTTGTTTAGCACACCATTTATTTTGAGAAACAGGATGAAAGAAAACTCAATCAGTCCATGTTTGATTCACTTTGAATTTCAAATTGAAGAATTCCAAATAAAACTTTATTATCTCCCAGTTTAACTATGGTTTGTCTAATAGTTCATTTTAGGACAAAATGGGGAGCCAACTCCAACTCTAAGGTGAAATACACCATCTTCATGACCAAACATGATGAACCATGTTGCCCTTTTTCATTCTTCACATCTCTCCTGTCTTAACGTCCTTTCCGCTTTCAGCTGTGCTTGGTTCTTGTGTATTTTTGTAATAGGATTAATGTTTCCATTTTCTTTCTCAGAGGTACAAAATGCAGGAGCAGACAGCGTGGATTCTCAGCCAGGTCCTTGGCACGCCTCCTCAGGAAAAGATGTGCCTGAGTGCAAAACTCAGTAGACTCCTCTTCGTCACTTCTCTGGAGGTCCAGCATTCCTTGTTTGGAAATGACTTTGTTTATGTGTCTGTCCCTGGTAATGATGTCGTAGTGCAGCTTAATTTCAATTCAGGCTTTACTTTGCCACTAGAGTTGCAAGATAAGGGAAGAGGAAATGAATGCATTGTGGTAATTTAGAATGGTGATAGCAATAGCTTCTTCTTCTTGCATATGGTAATACTTTTAAAAGTTGAATTGTTTTATTTATTTGTATATTTTGTAAAGAATAAAGTTATTGAAAGCAATGTAAAGTTACCTACATGACTTAGCATATTCCAAAGCATAACACATACATTACTATAAAACAATTTATTAACAAAATTGTAAACATTTTTAATACCTTACACATTCAATAAATGTTTAGTAGTTCTGAATCACCACTTTTCTATGTAATGTTAATGGTTTCTTGGTGAGGTAGTCTCTCTTGTTGACTCAATATTTTGCTATGAAAATACACACAAGCTTTCTGGATTTAAATTCCTAAAGGATAGCAGAGGCTATGTCCTCTTAACTTTCCAGTTCTAACATTCCTTTTGCTGTAATAACCCACAGAAGTTCTTTCTCACATTCCTGGTAACCTACCTATCCCAATCCCTACACAAACTCTCTAAATTGGTTGGTTTATTATTAGATTTTGTTTTTCACTGCCCCTCACTCCCAGCCTGGAGGAACCTATCGATCATTTATTCTACCTCTTCATTGTAGACATAAGGAACAGTACCAGAGTTTTTATCAAAGTAAAGTTTTCTAAACCTGGAGTCCCCACAGATAGATGAAGCATATATGGATGGGCTTCTTGTAATCTGTAAAACTTTTGAAATTTTTTGTGAACTTTTTTGTGTGGATTTATTTTGGGGGAGGGGATACTAGGGTTTATACTTTGTTTTATCAGATTCTTAGAGGGGCCCGTGATCCTGTAAAAATCTAAGAACTATGGCTTTAGAGGATATTTGATACTACTTTTATACCATATGACTTTGAAAAAACACTTAAAACAAGTTGCATTAGGTTATAGAACAGAGGTAAAGTGATTTCAAGGCATTCTCGGCTCTTTGGTAAGATTCAGTCAAAGGGAGAGATTATTGATTGCATCATATCTAGTATTTTAAAGTCTGTGGAGTGCATATTTTCCCATATCTTAACATACCACCAAAGGAATTAACTAGGACTAAGGGGAAACTATCCCTTCCTAAAATCTTTTCCCCTAGACCTGTACCTTAAGAGTCTGTCTTCTGCTTTCCACCCTTATCCAAACAAAACACTAACACACCTGTAGGTTTGATTCTTTATGTGTGCTTCTCCACCGAACAAAAGTAACCCAAAGTAGTGGTTAAGTTCACCTGGATGATAAAACTACATTAAAGTCATTAAAAATCTACTAGTTGTCAGGTAGCCAGCCTAGTAGAATATTTTTAACTTTTGAATTTGGGTGTCCATTTCATTCCTCAAATTTGGGAAGTTTGTAACCATTATTTCTTCAAATAAGCTGTGTCCCTTTTGCTGCCACCATTATCCCACACCCTTAATATCTATTCCCACACATTTTTCTCAGATTTTTTGGCTTGTATAAGTTAGAAAACTCAAGTGGTTCTTTTGATTGTGATGCAGCTCCTCATGGGCCACACTTTGTACCTCACATTAGGGATCTGCTGGGACTTGAGTCTAGTCAGGTCTAGGAGCATAGAGGGCTGGTGGGGGTAGGTCCTGAGGAGAATCAGCATTGTCTTGCTTGGCAGCTGCCTCAGGAGAGGCCATTATTATTTCCTCAGGCAATGCAGGAGCGCCATTGCACTCCAGCCTGGCCGGCAGGGTGAAACTGGAAAAAAGAAAAGGAAAAGGAAGAAAAATGGAGCTCAGTGTTCCTGGCTACAGGGTCTTCCCACACATCCCCATCCCAACTTACAGAATCTCACTCTCCCAGTCACTGTGGCTCATTTTACCAGTAGACACACTGAGGCAGAGTTCACCTTTTGCAATTGCATCAATCAAATGATGAAGACTGGTGTTTGATTTTCAGCAATTTTAGCCTCATGTCTACAGGAGAGAAGATCCTCTTTCAGGGCACGCCTAGAAGTTCTTAGGTTACTTATGTGGAGCTTTAGCCAGGAATTTGAATCCCTGAAGTCATTCTTTTTTTTTTTTTTTTTTTTTTTTTTAAAAATAACTTTGCCCAACAACATTAGGAGCAGCCAACCAACATTGGTATATTTCTTAGTTTTCCATAAATATTTGAAAGTATTACAGGGCCGGGCACAGTGGTTCATGCCTGTAATCCTAGCACATAGGGAGGCCAAGGCGGGCGGATCATGAGGTCAAGAGTTCGAGACCAGCCTGGCCAACATGGTGAAACCCCATCTCTACTAAGATAACAAAAATTAGCCGGGCATGGTGGTGCATGCCTGTAATCCTAGCTACTCAAGAGGCTGAGGCAGACGAATCGCTTGAACCCGGGAGGCAGAGGTTGCAGTGAGCCAAGATCATGCCACTGCACTCCAGCTTGGGTGACAGAGCAAGCCTCTGTCTCGAAAAAAAAAAAAAAAAGGTGTTATATATACAGAGTCACTTAAGTGCCTCACCTCTAACAAGTGGTTGATTAGGAGTATCCAATGCAGATATTTTGCATACCTCTATGAACAGCTCATTTCTTGGACAGTCAGTCAGTCAGTGCTCTCTGTACTATTGAAAGAGCCAGACTGAGCACAGTGACTCATATCTGTAATCCCAACACTTTGGGAAACTGAGGCAGGAGGCGCACTTGAGACCAGGAGTTTGAGACCAGCCTGGGCAACATAGTGAGACCTCATCTCTAACAAAAAAATAATAATTTGGAGGGCTGAGGCAGGAGGATGGCCTGAGCCCAGGTATTCAAGGCTGCAGTCAGCTGTGATGGTGTCACTGCACTCCAACCTGTTCAAGAGTGGGACCCCATCTCAAAAATAAAAAGTAGAGCCTTTAGCATTTTCAGTTCTAATCATACTAGAGAGCCAATTCCAGGAACCCCAAAACCAACTCAGGAAACTCATCCTTAAAATTTTGTTCCTCTAGAACCTCTCCTGGTACCAAAATCTGTCTTAGGATTTTCCAGAGAGACAGAACCAATAGAATATATACAGATGGTCCCCAACTTATCATGGTTCAACTTGCGACGTTTCAACTTTAGGACGGTGTGAGAACAATATGCATTCAGTGAAAAGTTTACTTTGAATTCTGATCTCTTCACAAGATAGCAATACTCTGCTGTGATCATGGGCAGTGGTGTCATGACACAGCTGTCAGTCAGCCATGCGATCACGAGTAAACAACTGTCACTGTTCAGTGTACTCTGTTCAATAAATTCCAAGAGTCAGTCAACACCTTGTTATAAAATAGGCTTTGTATTAACTGTAGGCTAACAAGGGTTCTGAGCACATTTAAGTAGGCTTCACTAAGCTCTATGTTCAGTGAATTAGGTATATTAAATACATTTTTCAACTGACGGTATTTTCAATTTACAATGGGATTTTGGGATGTAACCCCATTGAAGGTTGAGGAATATAGATATATATATCTAGAGAAAGAGAGAGAGAGGATGTTTATTAGAGGAATTGGCTTACACAATTGGGGAGGCTAAGAAGTCCCACCATAGGCTGTCTGCAAGCTGGAGAGCCAGGGAAACTAGGAGTGTGGCTCAGTCCAAGTCAGAAGGCCTGAGAATCTGGTTGGAGTTCAGGTATCCAAGGGCAGGAGAAGATGGATGTCCCAGTTCTGGAAGAGAGAGAATTCACCTTTTCTCTGCCTTTGTGTTTTATCTGGGCCCTCAGCCAATTGGATAGTGCCTGCCCACATTGGGTGAAGATCCTTACCCAGTTCACTGATTCCAATGCCGATCTCTTCCAGAAACACTCACGGATGTCCCAGAAATAATGCTTACCAGCTCTCTGGGGATCTGTAAATCCAGTCAAGTTGACACCTAAAATTAACTGTCACAAACATTGTCTTGAGAGCCTGGCAGAATTATACTCAGGAAACTTCTTAAGAAACTGCCATTCACTCAGCAAATATTTAATGAGCATTTACTCTCTGCCAATTACTGTTTTAGGCACTGAAAGGCACTACCAATGTGGAACTCATATTGTAGATAAGAAAACAAGAAACTAATATTCTTTTAATACGACCTAATCACAATGTAAAGGAGTAAAATATATAGTCCCCACCCTTGAAGAAATTTAGACTGCTGACAATACAAATGGGTAAACAAGTATGTGCGATACCATGTGACTTAGGCTGTTATCATCAAATAAGCATTACTGCTGAAGATTACAGAGGGAGGCTGAAGAAAGCTACATCAACAAGCATTAGCCGGGGGCGGTGGCTCACGCCTGTAATCCCAGCACTTTGGGAGGCCGAGACGGGCGGATCACGAGGTCAGGAGATAGAGACCATCCTGGCTAACACGGTGAAACCCCGTCTCTACTAAAAATATAAAAATTAGCCGGGCACGGTAGCGGGCGCCTGTAGTCCCAGCTACACGGGAGGCTGAGGCAGGAGAATGGCATGAACGCGGGAGGCGGAGCTTGCAGTGAGTAGAGTTCGCGCCACTGCCCTCCAGCCTGGGCGACAGCGAGAGACTCCATCTCAAAAAAAAGAAAAGCATTGGAGTTGGCTTTGATTAGAGAACTCTCAAACTCATGAATAATCTGTTCCAAAAGCCTCAAGAGTCAAAGGGCATTATTAGTAAAGCAGGAACAAAGCTAGATGTGATTACAGATTGTTATAGCCAGCGTTAGAAGTTGCTGAAACAAGGAACAAGGAGGGACAATTTTACCAAAGACCTTGTATGGACACATGCAGAAAGTCCAGTTTGTTAAAGAACTAAAAAGGGCAACTTTTACCATCCATTATAATTAAATTTCTCTAAAAATGTATTCATCATAATAATCACTAACATGTATTAAGTACCTGTGTGGCAACCATTGTGCTGATGGATTCATAGGCTTAGTCGTTCCTCCTCACCACATCCCTGAGGTACGTGCTATTTTACCTTCATTTTACAGATGAGAAACATGAGAGGTTCAGAGATTTAAGTGATTTACTCACTCAGCTAGTGAGAGAAAGATACGGGACTTGCTCTAGTCTTTCTGACGCCACGGTCTTTGTTCTTATCCACTGTGACTGTTAGAAATCACTTAGCTCCATGTAACAAAAAACCTGAAAAACACTAGTCTAAAGTTTATTGTCCTCACATAAGAAGTCCAGAGGAGTTGTTGCCTTGAGGCTGTCATGGAGGAGACAGGCTCCTTCTTTTGCTGGGCCCTGTCATTAATGTGTGCCTCTGACCTCAGACGAACTCACTAAAAGGCTGCTCTGTCCCACGCATCCTATCTTCATTCCAGGCAAAAAG